AACAACAAATGCTACAAATGACTGTTACTTACAAATGCGCATTTTGATATTTTCTCAAGCATACGTGAAAGAATATTGTTGCGGCAATAACAGCAAAAAGCTTTTATCCTTACTTTCAGTCAGCTCATAATTAGACAAATAATCAACAAAAATGACGTTCAGATTGAAAATCTATCAGCGCTGTATGTTGCAAGCTCGGACAAGCTTGCTTCATTGCTTACTATTTCGTCGCATTACTCTCTCCTATCCATGTTATGCTACATATCACAGACGCTTAGTAATGCTAGTAAGTATCGTGAAAAGTCTATAAAACATTAATTGTCCTACCTTCTCAAACCTCTCTCATAAGCTGACGTGCCACCTTCTGCCAACCAAAATCAGACTCATCATCAGTTCTGGTCCGTATATGATGGTTTGAATAATGTAGAGTTTTGGTTACTAGATTACTACCTGCTATTATATGTTCCTTTATTCATTCTTACAATCATGGTAAAAACACAGTTGAATCTAAACGAGGATCCAGCTGCTAAGCAGTGAAACTGTACGCATAACAAGTCATTCCTACAGGTAGTCCATACATAGCTGACTAATGTGGCTTTTTTACCTTTCGTACTAAAATCGTCGGTGGACCAGACAGATACTTTTGCCATCCTTATGCCTTTTCTTGTTAACTATTGGTTCAGAGGGCCATAGAACTTAAATGGCACTCGCGGAAAAAACAAAAGCTTTATCATCTATCAGCTTTCACCATCTCGTATAGGATAACTATCATTATGACGCCCTGCAATTGCAAATTATTTTTTGATCAAGCAAACCGTGTATCACTTTGTACCTTTTGTTAATTGGAGGCTGAATCCTGGGTGGTTGATGCTGAAAAAAACTCGTCGCAGCTCCCAAATTTCAGAATGAGGAATATTGAGGTCTTAGGAGTTACAAGACTGCAAGCACATATGACAAACCCACAAAGCTATGGCTGCTTTGATTCCACACATCAAAAACATTTGATTCAAAATCAAAAACATGTAAGTTAATCACAAACAAATGTTTACAGCACTACTAGAAAAATGTCAAACTGATTAAATATCCAGATAAAGTTAACATTATGCTGTCATTAGCGTGCATCTGTAAGAGATCGCAGATACTTCGGTCATTTTTGTGCAAGTATTAGGTTGTCCCGAAAGTTTTGTCGGTTTCTTTCATCGCTCACTAAAACTCACAGAACACCAATCCATAGACGGCTTGGGAACCATCTGATTCAGATTTTTATTTTCTTTCTTACAGTCATACTTACTTTCTGATCTACCCTGTCTTTGCAATGTTATCGCCATTGCTTTTTGAGCAGCTCAGCAGTGACGCTAAAACTTTCCTGAATTTTAGAATTTTTTATTCTGATGTTTTCAAAGAGGGTTGGTAACTGTTATGTAGAGCAAACCTTTGGCTTCATTGTATCCATCATAGATTATATGAACCGCGTTTACCAAGTCTGTTATAATTATTTATTTAATAAAAACCGCGGCTTTTTGGTTAAGTTTAACACGTAAAAGTACTAAAAATTTTAAAAAGCTGCTTTTTCGAAGCGAATCAAAGTTGGTTATGTTGCATAAATGATGTTTAGTAAGAATTATGTTTCAATACGCAGATTCGCCAAAAGCTTTCGTGTCTTTTCTGCAGTTGCGTGTTTCATGACTTTGCCAAAAATCGAAACCACCGAAGAAATAATTTTTTGAAGCTAGAATCAGCAGATTAGGAGAATATAAAAATACCGACTTGTAGTCCGAGAGTTGCTCTGATTCGTACGCCCTTTTCGAATCTTCGTAATGAGATTTTCAAAAATTAGCCTAACTTCGAACAGGTAAAATTGAAGGTGGAGAATTTTGGCAATTATCAAAAAAAGCATACAGAATTGCGGTTCGAAAATGTAACCATAAGAAAGAGAAGGAAAAACTGCATCGAATGGATGTTGAAGCTCACTCAGGTCTTTATTCTGGGTGGTTTTAAAGTGGTTTGAAGAAACCGACAAAACTTTCGGGAGCCTAATATATTGATTATAGCTTGCTTTCAAAGCCACCTCACTAAGCACCGTTTACTTGGGAAAAGCGCTATGCTCACAACATCGTCTTTTTTTGAAACAGGAGAGTCTTATATGATGTCATAAACAGTACTGATGTTCAGACCTTGCTCTACAGACATCTCGCGGATATTTAGGTGATCGATACACCAGAGCCCTGGTTTCGAGCATTATTGAAAAGTCCTCCATGACATCGCGTAATTATTGCGAAGTCCCCTTCGACTATAAAATGGGATAAGGACTTTGAAAATTGGATACATTTAGAAAATGAGCATCTATTAGAGAGCTGTGCTCAATGACAAGCGATACTGCAAAAATAAAATAAAAACATGTCATTTCATTTTGTCAAAGTCATAAATAACACGCACATTTGAATTTCTTTTCTGCGCTTCTAGTTAAGAGAGATTGTACAAAGAAAAGAGAGGTTACACCTTACCCTAGCATCACTAAACACCCGTCCAATCGTGATTGTGTTATGTGGTAAGGTTTACTGTCTTTATTTACGACATAAATGAGGAAAAGCAGTGGTTTAATTCTGTCTTTTTACTGAATAATGTATTTGAGCGCTCAAACACTCCAAGCCAAAAAGTAAAAAATTCATGTAAACTTTCCGATTTCTGTGTTCCGAACCAACCAAATTGGCCTGGTGATGGTCCAAAAACTATCAAATCTGAGTACGGGTATTACGACACATAAGTTTCCAAAGTGTCGGATATTGTTGTGCCGAACAGGTTGTTAGGTGGTCCTTTTATTGTCAATACTCTTCGGCACGTTTCGACGCTTTCGTCTTCATCAGAGGCCTGGAATGGTTTGAAGCTTCATCCGTAACTCCAGCCCATCAAACGTCTCTACCAGCCCTTGCCAGTTTTCGGCGCTTCCCCCAATCTAGTGCTATAAGAATTGTGATGGCAAAAGACATACCAGGGAACCACCGCTTCGTTAGATGTCCGTGCCGGATGTAGATGTTCGCGACGGACGAATGAGCTATACTGAGGGATGTCACATAAACAGTTATAGCTCACATAATGATAAAAACCGAAGGAAATCAGCGGTTATGGATAAACACTCGTTTTTGTTGTTCATTTCTGAATTCTTTGCAGAGATCCAGAACGATTTTAAGGCTTTTCTAGCCGAGATCTCTTTTTCAAGTGTTAGAATTGTGACTTTGATATCAAAGTCATCTCCACCATGCAATTCGTGCCTATGTCTGCCAAGCGGCGAAGCCAAGTTCTTGCGACTTTTATCTGACAAATGCTCTTTGATGCGAATACCGAGTGTTCTTCCTGTTTCCCCAATATAGCGTGCATTACATTTTAGACATTCAAGCTGATATCGTCCTTTCACCACGTTGTAGCGGGCACGCAGCCTCAGACGCTCTCCCGCGAAGCGGTTTTGACCGCGGCGCAGGGTCGATACGGCTGATCAGCTGTCCATCCGTTCGCTGCCACGGAATAGGTGAGTTTTTGATAATTTCATTATCTTTTTGCTTGCAGGTTGCAACAAAAAGTTGGAAGGTGAGTCGAGAAAGGCTGCTAACTTTGTATATAAGAGAATTGTTCGCTGAAAAAGCTGACTATCCAATCTAAGCGCAATGTCAGCCAGTTTTTGAAATTTTTGTTCATGTAATCAAGATATCACTCATAAATAAAATAAACTTGAAGACTTTTTCAACTTATCTTCCATCCTTTTGTTGCAACCTGCAAACAAAAAGATAATGAAATGATCAAACTCATCAATTCCTGTGGCAGCGGACGGATGAACAGCTGATCAACAGTATCGACCCAGCGCCGCGGTCAAAACCGCTTCGCGGGAAGCGTCTGAGGCTGCGTGCCCGCTACAACGGGGTGAAAGGACGATACACCATTCCCACCTTCGCGCAGTCACCCATTCTGCCGTGCGGGCATATCACGCATTGCTCCGTATTGCAGTATTGATCGTAGAGCCTGTTACGTACGAGCTGTTTTTTGATATTATCATTGGGAACGTTCACTAACATAATATCATCTTGCAGCTGCGCACGAACTATGCATTTCTGTATGGCCGCGCTGATCTTATCAGAAATGAATGGCAAGCAAAATGGAAGTCTGTCATCAGCCCGAATGTTGTTGCCATTTATGGCACAACAATATCCGACACTTACAATCATGCCCAGGTTTAATGACTACGGAACATGGAAATTATTAGTTTCCAAAGTCTTACATAAAATAATTTGAAGTAATAATGAATGCGTATGGTCCAAATATTTGGTGTCATATGAGTGCGCTTTTGACAAGCCATTTGTTTATTTTAGCATAATTCAAATTGCGCGCGTTTGTAGGAAAGGACTTGGACCATGACGATAGTGAGGGTTAAGCGATGTGTATAGGTCTAATGCATAAATGTTCAACATGTTTTACGTATCCCTATCGTTTTCCCAAAACGAAGTCTACTGACTTCAGTACATCTATGGTGGCCCCGAAGTGCAGCACTTTGACTGGGCACTGTTTGACGATCTAGCATTGAAATAAGCTACAAATCAAATTCAAAAGGATTGCCTGCTGCCATAGTTGCTCTTTATTAGGGTTTCTTATGATTATTGCTATTATTCCTTCTTTCTGCAGTCGCTTAGAGTAATTCTTCGTAGCAGCCCTTCACCTCTGACATTTCCACAGTAACGCCGAGAAAAGTAAAATTTTTTGGAATGTGTAGTTTATTCCAATGTACTTTCCAAAAAAGCTCAAATTCACCATTTCGTAATTAGGAGGCTGATTTTGGAGATAGAGAAGCTAGTATAAGTAAATGCAAAGAAGTAACTCTCTCGCTCTCTAACCCCTTTTATCTTCACGACTCGTTGAGAGCTTTTCATGGGCATTTTCTTAGGGTACCTTAGTCCAAATAACAGGTTCTATATTAAAATGTCCAGCATGGATTCGAGTTTTTCAATAGTCTTTGTTGAGTTTCCTTTTCATTAGAAGGTCATGCACGCCGCATTGCTGTTGCTGCCTTTTCTGACATCAGTCCTTCCTGCACCGAAAAGGGTAAGTTTTTTTTGAGCGTCCTCTAGCTATTGTGAGTATATGCAACAAAGTACGACCTGATTTTTCAGTTGTTAAAGTGGCATGATTTTGTGAAAATTAAAACTGCATAGCTTTTGTATCCACGTTTTTTTTCGTTTTTTTGGTTCATTTTGCCACCGGCGAGCGATTTTAATTATTAGGTTGTAACAGAATTAATGCAGGTTTTCTGAATTTTGTGTTTGGATCATTATAACTTTTTACACAAATAGTCTTTTCGTGTGCAACAAGAATTGTTGTAATCAGCAAATCTTTTTTAACTCAGTATGCATTATTATGTTGTTGTAGCTTCACTGAGAAAAATCTTATAGCCCGCATTCTGCCAAGAATTTTTTCGGAAAACCTTCACTTTGAGAAACCATAACTTACTATCAAATGTAATAAGGCAGCGCAAATATAACTCTCTGTGTAGCCTATGGTCGGTTGTGCAGCAGCGCTAAATTTGGAATCAAAAAAGAGTTCTTTGCGGGAGGATATTTGAAATTATTTTAAAAATACTCATTTTTTCGATTTTTCTGAGAATTTGAAAAATCGCTTTTCTGAAACTTTTTAAATTTTTTCAAAGCTAAATAGAGAGAACGGCTCCCGATTTTTTCCAGCCATAAATGTCTAGAATCTATTCTTCCTATATAAAGCGGAAGATTCGCAGTCGCTTCGCGCTGAGGATTTTTATATAGGGCAGATGGACCACAGCGACCGTTGAATTTTGCTCCGAAATTTCTCGGCTCAGATGTTCCCAGAATTCATGATTCAATATGCATTTTGTAACATAGCTCACTAAAAATGTATGTAAATTTGCAGCGAATTTCGATTGTTTTTTGGTGGTTTTAGAGTCAGATATATTAAAAGAAAGAATTTCGAGATTTGGTTTCTTAAATTCAGGGGCTCAGAACTCCTAGACAAATTCACTTCCACTGAAAGGAAAGAATGCATAAGAAATTAGAAGAAAAGGGCTTTCAAATGATGTGCAAAACTCACTGAGAAAACACCTTTCCGTTCTAATTTAGAGCAGATCACTCACTGGACATTCGCGTTTTCAAAGGAGGAACGTTGCTGCCATTTGTGCATTATTAGTCGAATGGATAAGACTAGAGCTTTTAAGCGGTAGAGTCATGGTTCGAGTGCGCCTAGCGGCACCATTTTTGCTACTTGGCCTGGCGACCTTTGATAACGGCCGCTGTCGAAAAAATCGATGATAACCGCTAGCAGAGATTTCACCAGGCAAACAACGAGATAAAGCAAATACACAATATTTTGGCCAAAGCAAATACACAATATTTTGGCCTTCATGCGAGGAAAAACCACACTTGGCGAAAAATGGTCAGAAAGGTACATTTACCTTTTTGTTATCTGAAGCGGTTCCGAGCAAGAACTGCAGGAAAAATGCAAAGAAAACTTTTTTCCGATTTCGTCGCGCAATCAGCTGTTCATCGATCCTCACTTAGGCTCCGGATTTGTGCAGTTTTGGGAGTTTTGCACTGCAAAAGAACGTCGACTGCGGTGTTTCGTAAGTTACTCGGACTTACGGAGATTTTCTCTGCGCTCTCCTCTTTAGCACGATATTTATCTTATGTCGTCGCCCGGCTCATCTCCGATGACTCTGTCGGGAGCTGATCTCCCTGCCGGGCTTCATCTGAAGTTCACCTGTAGGGTGACCTTGCATACTTACACCTTGGAAAAGTGGGCAGTCCTCATCTCACCCGACAAAGCCTCATATGAGGGCCTCAGGAGAGATCATCTCCCGTGACCGAGCTTTACTACGGGCCATAACTAGTAATAATTAATTTTACTTTTTAAATTCTTGTAGTAAAAACGTATTGAACAAAAAAAACAGTACACACTCTACAAAAGCGGTTCAGAATTTTATAAATACATGTTGTTCACAATAGCTGCCCTCCAAAGTGCAATGGATTGTAATGTTTCACTGTTAAAAATAGACTGTTTCATGACTGCCTAATAAAGATACGGAAATCATTTAGAAGCAAATTCTCAAGATGGGTAGATGCACAGGATAACGTTTGCGATTGAAATTGCAGGCTAAACCAGTGGTAATTTCTAAGCAGAAGTATGGAGACATTGTACAGTTCCAACAATTGATGAAGAGGTGAGGTCGCTAGTTGTTTACACTTAGAAAGTGCATGCTCGTAAATTAGAGGGAGAGAATCTCAGGTGAATATCATAATTAGTAAGCGCTTACGTCAAAGAGATTGGGATCGGCCAATCTTTGCATGTCTAATTTCTCGTTTCATGATAAGGACAGTCAGTGCAGTTGCTGCTTCGGCTGTTTATCAAAGAAATTATTACTTGAGAAAATTTATCTATTCATTTATTACACTATATAGCGTAGTATGCCATCATAAAAAGAATTATTAGGTAACCTGGAAAAATAGGACAAGTCATCAAGTATATAGTGAAATGCATCTCATTCTACTCCCATACCCTTGAAATGTTCTACAAAATCTGCTGAATTTTTATCAGATTGTTGATAAATATGGGGCAAGTAGAGTTGAAAGCAGGCATTTTTAGAGATAGTCATAATTTATCCTTGGGAGATTTATTGCATATTATCGGCGATGACATGCATATAGGCAGCAGGCGTATACAGGATGTCCCAAGTAGATGTGCACACTGTTTGATCGTTAATAATTTTCCTTTCTTGTCTTTTGCCGAGCTTGATGTACCATTCTGTAAAGCGAGGATTAGCTAAGGTTCACAGTATGGAGCGAACCACCAATCGCTCTTTGTTACTGCAGAATTACGGTATGAACTTTCAGCCTACAGCACCAGTATGGAATAGTCGTCTTGATGAAAAAATCCAAAAAATCTGGAAAATTGTGTAACAAGGTTTATCAGGTGTGCTGACTTCACCACACAACTACCAGTTTTTGAGCCCTTTTAATGGTGTAATCACACTTCTGACGAACATTGGAAAAACAGATGTTACCCTAAACCTGAAATAAATCACGAAGGAAGCATCACAGTAAAGTGCAAATTTCATATTTGGAATCAGCGACTTCGTTTAATCCAGTACAAGAGTTTCTGGCTTGTTTGTTTTTCTTTCTGGAGCAAAAATCGCTTTCAATGGTGTAAAGTCCTTCTCGAAATTTAGGTTGTAAAGAAAGTTCCCGGGCACTTGCGAAATTTATTTTCAAATCGCTGTAACTTCAAGCAGATTGATTCTTTTCTAAAGCTCCAAACTTCATTGCAAAGACAATTTTGTCCACAACATATATTTGTCTTGCTGGCTTCTCAGCACCTCACTGCGGTCCACCAGCATGCGCAGAAGGGAAAAAGGTCGTCGCGAAAAGTGGCCTATTTGCGCAGGATTATCTCATGCAGGATGAGAGCTGGAAAGCTCAGATGTTGTAATTATATAGAGTTCTGCCTGGGCTGTTATGGGGACCATTCATGTTTTTGAAGGACTCCCTGCAAAAAAATTTTCCCCAGAAAGTTTGAAAAATCGACCATTTTTTGCCCCCAAAAATGTACCATTTTTCGAGTAAGTTGCTTTGAAGTCTTCTCGCTCTGCACAGGGCTGACCAAAAACTTTGATTACTGCGAATCTTGTTGGGGTAATGCCTTACACTTCTTTTGGACCCATCACCCAGGCGTGGCGATCTCCGCAGAAGCGACGCCAGCTGCGAAAAGAAATGCAGTCAGTTGCAAGTTCGACGGCTTGTAACTTCTGAGCACAGATCGCCAAACTCGAGTGCAGCTGCGGGTCAGTAGTCAACAGTCTTCTCAATCAGATCACCCATGATTTGGACGAAATTCTGTGAACTGCGCAAAAAAATGGCCGCAGAAAGAAAAATTGTGAAATTTTTATGGTCGGAAAGGTTTACTTTTTTGGTGTGCAGATCAGACATGTTTTGGCATCGATAAAAATCAAAAGCGGTTTTGAAAAGTTTAGGCTTCCCTCTACTGAACGGTGTAAACAACTAGTCGTTGAAGTCCGACCGAGCGCCGAAAAAATGCGTTTGAAAATGAAATTTCCAAAAGTGCCCGGGAACTTTCTTTACAACCTAATATTTATTCTATTCTATTAGGTTGTCCGGAAATTAATGCCCGTTTTGAATTTCAACCGCAATAAGTCATACACTTCTCACTTCCAAATGGGTTGCAATGTACCATTCGATAGAGCAAAGCAAGCTCTACAAGATGGCCATTTTGCTTTTGCAATATCTCTCATCCACCTCGAGTTTCGAGCCAAAAACTAAAATGATTCAACTGCCCGAAAAATCGAGAAAAATCACAACTCAGTTCATAACAGTCCTACAAAAATTCCAAGTCGCTCACGTAAATACTATCCACATAACACATCCGCAGCCACATACGCCTTTGCCGTATTTTTTCCTCTGTTAGGAATCAAGAAAACGGAAATTTTCGTGCATTTGCCAAAGTGGTGTTGTGCAGTTCCCACATAGGTAGTTGTATACTACAGACCTGTAGATGTACAAATGTAAATTTTTCTACAAGCTTTAGTTCCCGAGATATTTGAATTTTAGTTTGGGCCACCTAACTGGGGAAAGCTATATTCGGCATTTCTCGAGAACTAAAGCTTGTAGAAAGCTGAAAATTTAAGTCTGTACTTCTACAGGCTTGTGGTACACAACTATTTATGTGAGAACTGCACAACACCGCTCTGGCAAATGCACGAAAATTTCCGTTTTCTTGATTCCTAACAGAGAAAAAAATACGGCAAAGGCGTATATAGATGTTTTACTTGGGTAGTGTTTACGTGAGCAAGTGAGAATTTTTGTAGGATTTTTATGAACTGAGTTACGAATTTTTTTCGATTTTTCAGGCTGCTGAGTCTATTTAGTTTTTGGCTCAAAACTCGAGGTGGATGAGAGATATTGCAAAAGCAAAATGGCCATCTTGTAGAGCTTGGTTTGCTCTATCGAATGGTACTTTGCAACCCATTTGGAAATAAGAAGTGTATGACTTATTGCGGTTGAAATTCAAAACGGGCATTGATTTCCGGACAACCTAATATTATTGCTATTATTAAATTAACGTAATCCTACAGTAACGGAGAAAGATTGGAGATTTGCTCTATACTGTAAATCTAAGTGAATCATGCCCTGCAGAATGGTACATAAAGCTCGATGAAAAACTTTCAAGCAAGAAAGTTATTAACGATCAAACAGTGTGCACATCTTTTTGGGACATCCTGTATATACTGCTCAAAGCAACGAACTGGGATGAAGAATTTGATGTAATAGATAACTTCTAAGCAGTACGTAGTAAAGCAGTTCGTTAAGTTTGTAGTTATTTTCTTCCGTCTTCTAACACTCAGGTCTGACGAGCACTTGGCAGCAATTATTTCTTCAGACCAAAAGATTTAGGAACATGCCATTAATGTAGTGAGCGGTAACATACGTTGATGATTACACGACTCATCGGTATAGAGCCACGATATTATGTTCGATTCATCAGAGCACAAAAGAAGATTTAGATCAATTTTATTCATAAGAATATGAATTTGAAATAGCTCGCAGACGAAGCGAAAAGGCATTTGTCAAGGTGCAGAATATTGAAAAAAGACTTCTGAGAGACAAGTTTGCCAACTGAGTTTGGAATGATATAAAACCTTTGAACTTTAATGTGATTTTGGTGCTAATGACTTATCACATTGTTCGTCTTTAATTTGAGAAAGCACAATTTAGAGGGATGTACAAGTCCAGTCGCACAGAGATCAAAAGAACGAAGTGGAATCATAAAGATGGCAAGGGAAACATCATCATACCATACATCATCACTGCAGAGGATTATGGTATATGTTGTATCATAGTTCAGGTCAGGGCTCGGCACGAGGTGGCTAGATGAAAATGGAAAAAACGAAGTCCCCCTTGACTTTTGGGAATTTTTACGAAGTCCCTTTGACCCTCAACCAAATTTCCTCTAAAAACCTGAAAATTCCCAAAATCCCCCAAAAAACGAAACGTCGACTAAAAAAAACGTCGCCAAGTCGCCAATTTTGCGTCTCTCTTCGGTCACGAAAACGAAACCCCCTTTGCTTTTTGTCCCAAAAACGATACCTTGCTTACAAGCCACCTGTGCCGAGCCCTGGTTCAAGTGTACCGAGATATTTTTGCTATATGTTCAGATGCTGAAGAAACATCGAACATTACCAAAGCAATGAAACGAATTGAGGATCGTACTTGTATACGTTTTGCAAAAAGAAGGAATCAGAAGTACTATGTGGAAATTCGCAATGTCAAAGACAAAGGGTAAGTATGGAAACGTCTATGCGATCTTAGAAGAAGACTCGTCATAGTTTACCCGAAGTACTGCGTAAAAGCTTCAAGAGCGCGGAAAATGGTCATACACTTTGCCAGAGGGAGGTCAAAAGTGCTCAAAAGCGGCGTAGAAGCCCTTTTCGTGCGAGCCGCCATTAGCTTATCACTGTAAATTGCATTCTATAAACATCATGATGTTTTTGGAGACCGTTTTCCATGCGCTCTAAAAAGAAGAAAAGGAGTGCTAAAGATGGCTATTTTGCCTTAGATGTTACGTGCAAAAATTTGCAAAAAAAATTCGGAATTAATCAGAGTGAATGTCTCCTCTGGTGGATATGTTGATGGCTTATGCCACTTCCCAAGGTTAAAGAAAGCTCACCACATCCCCATTTGTCTTTCGTAATCTAACAGTGCTTCGCCCTGATTCGCAGAGGTTCCCACTTGCTATCATGAAAGGTATCAGGGATTACGTAATTTGGCCTTCATTTTTCAATCGAGAAAACGCTAAGTAAACACAAAAATGAGCCTTGCTTGTTACGTGGCTCTCACCAGGGCTCGGCACAGCTGGCACCGAGTCAAGCTGGATATCGTTCTTAGGGCGAAAGCAAAGGGGATATCGTTTTTCCGGGGTACTGGGCGGAAAAGAGCCGCAAGAATGCCGACGGCATGCCACCGGCATGCTATCCATCAAACAAACAAAGGTGTTGTTTTCAGCCAAAACGCAATAGTATGACACCAAATTTGGTGTGTGCATGCGCGTTGGAGGACCCGAACTATGGCCCAAAAATTTATGAAAACTTATGTGAATGAAAGCTGTGCCCGACTTTTTTCTGAATTAGCTGGCACCGACACTTTGCTCACATAAGTTTTCATAGCTTTTTACATGAAATGTATATACACTGCAAAAGTTTACATACAGAGAAGAAACGGTTTCATTATGCTTTCTTTTCAGCGTTTTATAGCCATCTGAAAATTACTCTACTGTACTGTCCCTCTGTTTACTTCCTAAAACATTTCATATTTAGATAATAGAGATTCACAGATTTTCAATTTTAGCATGTAGGCAAGAACTTGGCAATTGAAATAAAATAAGTTTAGTTTGGAGCGATGTTTTTCTGTCCATCTGAACGAGTGTTAACTGCGATCAAGATCATCGACAATGCGCCGCAGCTTTGAGCGCGAGTTTTGACCGTAACTAAACCACCAAAAGTGAAATCAATTTCAAATTGAGGTAGTATGTGGAGCATAATCTCCTCTACAAAATTTTATACTTATTATGGATTAGTGATTCGGGATTTTGACTAAACAAAGAAAATTATGCCCCAAGCGAATTCTAAAAATTCACAAAAGAGGCTAATCAGATCTGCTCTTCCTCAGTGAATAGGATCCAAAATTTGGTTCAATTTTCCAGATTCAAACAAAAAGTAATGAGAATAACGAAAAGAACATCGGGTTTTGTCTACGTCATAATTTTGAGTCAATAAAAACCATAGTCTTAGTTTCTGTGCCACGTTTTCCGATAACACCCTGTTGCCCCGCAGACGCTATTTCGTTGGAAAATTTCCCAACTTTTCTCCTACTGCGACTGTGGTCTGGCTACTTGCAGCATTCTTCGAAGATACTACAACGTTCCTTAAGCAATAAAATTTCTCAAATCCGCGCTGAAAACAGAAGAATTTTCCAACTCCACCCTTTCTTCACACTTGTAAAAGGAGTTGCGAGATTTGATATGGGGTGCGCGGCGAAAAGGGATCCCCCGCCGGATGAAAACGCAGAATTTTTGAGCCAGTTTCCGCAAAATGCTAGATACATTCACATCTTGAGATTTATGTCAAATTTACCAGAAAAACTTGGGAATTACGCCGAGTTTTTTGCTTTTATTTTGAGGGACAGTACTTTTTCCGTACCCTGTACAAACGCTCCAAACACTACGAAATCTTCGTCAATTCGAAATTTCAAAAATTGCTTGTGATTGAACACTATCATAACAAACAAATAAATTCGAAATATCAATTTTCGCAATTTTCGGGTGCACACTGGCACGGATCAAAAAACTAGAATTATGGCAATTTTTTCCTCGAGGCCTTTACAAATCGGAAGAAAAAACATCTGTCAAAAAGAAGAGAAGAAGCTGCATCAAATGACTCTTTAGCTTTTGCCGTCTAATGCTCTATGAGAATTGGGATACCCAAATATGGAAATTGATAGTATCAAAAAAAAAATTTTGTAAAAAATCTGAAAAGCCAGCTATAGATGCCAAAAAATTGTTCTGCATAGAATTTTGTTTACTCTATCCAACAATTATCAAATTTCCAAAAGTCCAAAACGAAAATTCAAGAAAATGGCAAAGTTTAGGGTAGCTGAAAACCATGGATTGAAGATTCTAACGTTTTTCAAGCGAACGTCGCAGGAATCCGAACAAGAACATAACTGCTAGAAAACGGGAGAAATTCTGCATAAAATACTTCTTAAAGTATTTGCCTATCTTCATTCTGAGTGGTTTGAGGATAGGTAGAAAAACGGCACGAACTTTTAGACCCACCTAATATCATTGGTAATCAATCTTAAACCTTAGAAAATTATTTTTTGTTGTATTTGTAAGTACACACAAGGTGCATCAAAGAAGAAGAACAGCAAGGACAGAGATTAAAAAGAAACACGAGGCCAGCCAATCCTCACGCTCAAGGCAATAGTAGAATAAAATAAGGTAAATAAAGACACGAAGCTCTAAACCCCTAAGGCCCGTATGCACGTACATCCCCGCTGGGAAGGGGAGGGATCTGAGAGGGGATGCGTCATATCTCGCTACTCTACAATCTTCTTCTTTCTCTACCTTGCTTATGAAGGTCTCATACCCTAATATCTGCGTATAATTGATGCCAGGTTAATGGCATAATCGATTGTATTTTCACTAATTTGTGTGATCCCCAGTGGATCCCCAGATAGTCACCTCTCAATTTCAATGCCATTTATCTTCCTGAGAACTCAGTGAAACGCCTTAAAACTGTACTGTGGATATATTACTGTACTGCTAAAGATGTTTATAGTAGAAATAAGTGGAATGCTCGAATATCAAAACCTTGGGTAATCCCTAGCTCGCGAGCTAGGAATCACCAAATCTTTAGATTCCATTTCTCTTGTTGAAAGCATGCTTAGCAGTGCCGCGGTATATCCTCGGTACAATTTTGCAGCGTTTTCATTTACTTTTCAGGAAGATAAATCACTTTGAAAATGAGTGGTGATTCCCTGGGGATTACGCAAAATGGCAAAAATCCAACCTGTATGGAGGTAACCTGGCCTCCATTATGCGCAGGTATAAGTGTATGACAAACTTCGTAAGTAAGACGGTGAAAGAAGAAAGATACGCGTAGAGTAGCGAGATATGACGCTTCTCTCTCAGATCTCCTTTCCTCCCCAGTGGGGAGGGAAGGAGATCTGAGAGAGAAGCGTCATATCTATCTTGTACGTGCGCGCAGGCCTAAGAAAAAAAGGAACTACCGTGTCAGAAGCAGTAATCTCAGGAATCTTGCACCCTCAAAACTCATGATGAACCCGCTTTTGGGTGCCGGCCAGTTTCCCTCCTCCTGTAAAAGCCAGCTGAGATGACCCTAAGAATTATTTGTTTTGAAGTACAACAAGATTTTATTACGAAACCGTGCAGTAAAAATAGACACCTGTCAACTATGTTTGGATGAATAGGAACAAGCTGAAGGGGTCTAAAGATAGTGAATAAGCTCCGATGAGTGACCATTCACTAAATATTCCTGCAAAATAGAAATAGCTCTTACCGAACGTTAGTGAAGGAATGGTCACGGTTTTAAGTACAAAATAAACAGAAACTGCAGGATAGCGGTCATGCAAATTACAATAAAAGCAAAAAGTAATCAACGAGGTAAGGACCATGTAGAACAACACGCAGCGAAACGCCACACAACGTAACACAACGCACCATCATCAATAGTAGTAATACCATAAAAAGCGAGGCACCACAGATGAAGTGAAAAAGAAAAACAATATGTCAAACGTCCTCTTGTCTTGAAACCTGGGCATTCTGACGACCTTGGCGACCAAGATCGTAAATCAACGTGACTGAATACTTTTAGCCTCTGACGACGGCGTTGTGCCGAAACGTTAGGCAATAAACTGTCACCGATAACAACCTGTACGGCAAAAGAAAAATATTGAAATCAGAAAAACAATAATTATATATAACATTAACAACACAAACAAAAATATCTGTCACAATTCTAACAGTTCGCCCTAACATTTCTTAGAGGTCCGATCCCTTTCAATGATGCTGCTTGTTAGAGCTAAGAAGAGGGAAAAAACTTTATATGATGGATAATTTTTCACATGTTCTTAGATTAGCAGGGCAGTACCACTAAAGGAGGTTGAATCTTTAGTTATCTCCATGCTTGATGCTTGACGCTGATTACTTGGCTTGGTAAAGATTATGGCCCGTAGTAAAGCTCGATCAGTTCAGGTGAACTGAACTTATCCCATCATCACCTCACGTCAGGTGAACTGATGACCTCCTACCCTCCCATGCTATAAGAATGGCGAGTGAACTGATAGTTGACCTCTGTCCACCTGTTGCAGTCAACTCTTGCACATCAGTTCACGTTCAAGTGACCTGAACGTGAACTGATGTTAGAGTGATGCAAAAAGTGTGTATAAGAGGAGACGCAGACAAGACTCCCGTAAGTTGCTCCTGAGTAACTTACGATACATATCAGTTAGGCTAAAAATGCAGACAAAATCGGCGCAAAACTGCACAATCGCGCCCGAAAAGGAGAGGATCGATGAACAGCTGATTATCGCGTGGAAAGGAAGAAAACAGAATTTTTTCTTTTTGTAAAATTTGTTGGCTTTTTTCTCTGAAAAGCTGCTTAAGGCAGGAATTTTTAAATTTATTTCATTGAATTCATGTTGCAGGTCCTTCAATTTTGCATGAAATTTTCGTCAAAAAATGCGTTTTTGTTTCACCCATGCATTTTCCAGGCGAAATCCTTGATAACGGTCATCATTGATTTGCCGAGAGTGGTCGCTATCAAAAACGCCCTGGGATACAGCAAAAGCGTGGCGCTAGCCGGTGTCGAACCATGGCCGCGCGCGTTCAATTTCGACCGCTTACCTGCTCAACCAAACCAGCTCTAGTGGTTGCCTTTTCAATAGCGTAGATGATTATCATGTCTAAAAAGAGATCCGCATCCAGATCAATAGTTCACTGGATGCTGGATTGAGCCCCCCCCCCCCCGGCCCGCGTCAAGAGAGATGCACTGATGGGGGGTTTTCTACGGGCCTATGTTGTGCGCTAATTTAAAATGAGAAAAGAGCAGAGAGAAAAACATCTTGTGCCTTTAATGTCAAGGAAACTTGCAGAGTATCCTTCTCAAGGTTAGCCACACGAAACGGTTGGTTGCCACGAGGGATTAGGTAGTGGTATAGGTAATGCAGCTGCTAGAGTTTGAAAAGTGACTTTCACAACAGTATATGATTTATGCGCTGTCGCATCTTACAAGGGAGGTGTTTTCGGTCGAAGTGGCCTTTTCACATGAATTTGATATGGCTATAAAGAGCATCAAACGCTGATTCCAAATCTGTCTTTGTTATCTGCCGAGCGCCTCTAAACGTCGAGTTATGAATATTTTCTTGGTGCGAAAAATGAACGCATAATCTAAGTAAAATAAAATTTTACGGTCTTCTCAGCGCTCAAATAGAGCAATGTTAAGTATGAGTGCTTTAGATAGAAAGTATTGTTCAAATAAAGTGCTTTGATAATCAACATTGGACCATTTGAGCAAATCTGACGAATATTGTCCTAATTATGCATTTAATTTCTCGACTTAAAAAACGCTCATAACCCGACGTCTGAGGCGCTCGGCAGATAATGAAGACAGATTTGGAATCAGCGTTTGATGCTCTTTATAGTCGTATCAATTTCATGTGAAAAGGCCACTTCGACCGAAAACACCTCCCTTGTTAGCTAGGGTCCTTTCATGAAACATTCAAATGTTTCAATTTGTTTGGTTACTGACTTCAAGGTAAGCAATATTAGGGCAAGAAAACTCTTTTGTCAGCAAGAGAGGAATGACTCGTTTGATCTTTATTACACCCTTATTTCATCTTTGTCAGAAATTCGGGGACAACGTGCAGAAATACATGAGTTTCTATGAGAAAAATTCCAAGATTTCCGGCTGACTGTACCGTTTGGCCTTGCAATATGACGTAAATTTAAAGCTCGGCACAGCTGGCACCGGGTCAAGCTGAATATCGTTTTTTTAATATCGTTTTCCGAGGTCCGGGGCGGGGAAGGGCCGCAAGACTGCCGCCGGCATGCTTGCTGCTTGCTGTCCATCAAACAAACAAAGGCGGTTGTTTTCAGTCAAAACGCAATAGTATGACACCAAATTTGGTGTGCGCATGCGCGTTGGGGGACCCGAACTATGGTTCAAAAGATTTATGAAAACTTATGTGAATGTAAGCTGTGCTGAACTTTTTTTCTGAATTAGCTAGCACCGTGGGTCCAGCTGAGCTGACACCGACACTTTCCTCACATAAGTTTTCATTTTTACGTAAAATGTATTTACACTGTAAAAGTTTACATACGGAGAAGAAACAATTCTATAATGTTTTCTTTTCAGCGTTTTATAGTCATTTGAAAATTACTCGGTCTGCTCCGCAGGCGAAAAATCCTTTTTCTGCTTCTCAAGATGTGATTCAACCACTTAAAAAGCTCAGAAAGCTGTGAAAAGTTGTTTCAAGGAACCAGCATGCATGAAAACCCTACTACATACTTTTACACTGCCTAAAATCAATGACGGGTCTTCAAAATAGGTCAAAGGGGTTCGTACGAAATTTTCAAGATCAAACGGAACTTTGAGAGAAAAATTTCCCTGGTGCCAGTTTGTGTCGAGCCCTGCGTAAATTCTCCTCTAATACATATGTACATTATAGTTGCTATGCATATGTCGGTAGAAACAAAAGAGGCTTCATAAGTGTGTTGCAGTTGGAGTCCAGTGAAGAAAACACGTAATGTTTATTTGTTTATGCTGGAAGTTGATCAAGATCGATACTTATCAATTACTTTTCAGTTGCATGTCAATACCTTCAATTCTGCACGAGTTGCTCCATATTGTAGGATTGTGGCATGAACAAAATCGTTATGATCGTGATATGTACATCCAAGTGAACTACGAAAACATAGGAAGACGTATGTTTGGTTTTTGAATCTTGATCTTTCTGCTTTATTTCCGCTCTTACATTGAGGACAACGTCTCGACAAAATTTCGCTGTTCAGTCTTTCACCTATTCGGAGCCTTCTCGCCATATCTGGACTTTCCTAGCGCATAAAAATGGCGAAAGTATACCTTTTTGAAGCTTTCCAGGTCCGCATCTAGTGTTCTTCCGCACTCCGCCTTCCTCGTTCGGAGTCTGCCCACAAGTAAATGTAGGCCTGGAAAGCCTCTAAAAAAGCTCATTTTCGCCATTCTCATGCGCTGAAAAGCCCAGATATGGATTCCTCATGGCGAGAAGTCTCCGAAAAGGTGGAAAACTGAATAACAAAATTTTGACATTGCAACTAACGCAAAAGTAGTCCACATTCGCAGCGCGCCATGATGAGTGGCTTCATGTGCAAGCGTCTTTCCCTGTTGCGAAGTGGAAATTGGTCGATTAGGTACTGAATGTTTCACTAACTTTTCCCCTCCCAGGAGCTACAATAGGATTCAACTATATAAAAAGCATATAATTCCTTCTTCCAGCAAGTCCAGTGTCCAAATAAGTCACTCTTCAAGTGGCTCCCAATTCTGCTTTACAGAGTTACGTCTGTATTCTGAAAATCTCTAGGTCTTCTAGATGCATCCGAAAAAGAGGAGAAGGTACACAGTTTTACGAGTACAAGACGTACCTTTTTTTCCTAAATGGACCACTTGGGCACGCCAAAATATTTCGCGACCAAAGGGCCCTATACAGTACTGTCTACTGCCCTGAGAGTATCGTGCGGCATAATTTTCGTTTTCCGAATCGCAATAAGGCATCTGAATGGATCGATTCAGATTGAAAGGTGCGTCTTGTACCCTTGAAGTTAGAGTAATATGTATGCAGGTGAGCTGACCTTTGATTAAACTGGCTTGGCGGGTGGAAGGCTGGGCTTTGTGATCTAATAAAGGCCTCTCGTGCCCGCGATGCAGTCTGCGTCTCTCTCGTGCTCTCTGATCATTATCTAGCCTTAATTGAGTCATGAACCCGCCTTCCAGCCTCCAATCCAGTTGAATTAAAGGGTAATAAGCAAAGCAGACATATAGGCTGCTGCATGACAAAGGCGCAGTATCTTTGGGAGTAAACACCTTTATTACGCGCAGAGGGCAGTAGGCGCAAGATCTACAATGGCGAAAATACGCGCGCCGCGTTCGTGCCCGCTCAACATACTGCTATTGCGCCTTCGTCATGCAGTAGCCTTTAAATATAATACAAAGTACAGTTATAACAACTAAAATGACCGCGACCTATTTGACATTGAATAATCGACCTTCAAAAAAATTAGACAAACAATAATTATTGTTCCGAAATTTTCGCAAATTTTTGAACATAAGTTTTTAGATTCAAATAGTTGCAACTGAAACATGGTCGAGTGAGCACTGTTCAAATCGAATATTCAGTGTCTAGAAATCAATGCTAGCCTTGCAAAGCAGACCTGCTTTTGTTGATTTCATTTTCATTTTCATTTTCATTTGTACGCTCAAGGCGTTCCATAAAAAAGACACATCAAGAAGTTAGCAATAAAGCGGAAACGAACAAGACATGTAAACAAATGCAGACATCATCATGTCAGTCCGGGTCTTATCCTAATCAGACTAATATGAGAAGATAAAACAGCGCAATGAATATGTTGGTAGGCTAATAAATAAGTATGCAGATGTAGGCATGAGATTTATAACTCCAAAACTTTGAATCAATGGAGATGGGACGCATGCCCCCTCGTTGCCAGCGGAACGATCTTTAGTTACTCTTAAAAGCAATCCGGCGGCTTATAAGGCAGGTCTACTGGCTCAGGTATAAAAACCATAACCCAACCTAGCCGGAATGCTGGGGAGGCCCAATGACCCCAAAGGTGAAACGATTCTCACTGAATCCATTTGTCGAAATAGCAAGCTGTACGATTGACTACTAGATAGCTGAACGAAAAAGACTCGGACTGAGATGCTGATGAAATTGTGTTAGTAACTAGAACAAAACGAGTACACCAAAAATAAAAGTTTGACGCAACGTGAGGAGATACACGAGAGGCGTCAAAGAGATAATTTACAGCCACAACTGAACCCGCAAGTCAATGCAAGATCACCGAGCACCTGAAAAGACAGGTTTTAGAGGTAAAATGGAGAAGAAAGGTGATAGAAAACAAAGCCCAAAGCGATTCCATACGCCACCATAGCACGTCCAAAGCACCCAATGGAAGCCCAAAAGGTCTAATGCAGAAGGCTCGCCCTGTCATGCAACACTAATCAGTGTTAGCGATACTTGACAAGTCAAGCCTTCTCAGTCTACTCCTGAAAATATGACTACTCTCTGCACTAGTGGTCTCAACCGGGAGGTGCGAAAGCCACCTAGCCGACCTGTAGAACACGTTGTTGAACATCAGCAAGTATCTCTTGCGCCGGATTCTTGGATATTGCAAATCAAAAGAGCCTGACCTTTCGCTTGTAGGAATAAAAATCCAGTATTTACTGGCTTTTAGCTTGTTCTCTCTTCTCAGAACTTGAAAACAGAATACAAGATCCAAGAAAGCACGACGGTTTGTTAAGGATTTCATATGAAACCTCTCAAGCCGGGTCTGGTAATCGGGAGGGGTGGTTCCGGGCGATAAACGTCTATACAACAGTCGTGTAAAAAGCTGTTGAACCTTTTCAATTCTGCGAATATCCTTTTTACGAAAGGGGGACCAGACCTGAGAACAGTATTCTAAATGAGGAAGAACTAATGCTTTATAAAGCGGTATAAGTATCTTCGGAGAACTAGCATTAGTATTGCGGAAAAGCAGAAAGAGTGAAGAATAAGCTTTTTTGACTAACGTATTGATATGCTCAGTGAAGTTAAGATTTGTATCAATCACGACACCCAAATCTCTAACAGTATCACAACTCTTCAATATAGAGCCTTTGATGTGATACGAGGTAGTATTTCCACCTCCAAGATGAAGCACTGAGCATTTGTCAAAATTTAACGCTAATTCCCAGACCTCACACCAATTGGTCAAATTATCAAGTGACCTTTGCAAGTCCATTTGAATCTCTGGAGCTACTTCCGGATCATAGACTGCAAAAATCTTTATATCATCAGCATACATCCGGATGTGTACGCTAGCGGAAGTCTTCAAAGTAGAAGGAAGGTCAAGGGTGTAAATCAGGAAAAGCAAGGGGGCTAAGACACCACCCTGTGGAACACCACTAGTGCAGAAGTACTTTTTGGAGTAACGATGACCAACTCTCACAGTCATATACTGATCACGCAAATAAGATGTCAACCACGAAAGAAGATTTCCTTTAATCCCTAATTTGTTCATTTTAGTTAGTAATTTAGCATGACAGACCTTATCAAACGCTTTCGAGAGATCAACATAAACAATGTCAACCGATTTGCCCTCGTTGATTGCTAAGCTCCACTCAAACACACTATCAACCAGATTTGTTGTGGTGGAAGCCCCATTCAAAAAGCCATGTTGTTCATCGGGGATCAAATCCGAAACCTTTAGCCATTCCAAAAGTTTTTCACGTATGATTCTTTCCATGATCTTAACAGGAGTGGGAAGCAAGCTAATTGGACGGAACTTATCAACTCGACATGCTCCGTCAGTTTTTGGAATTGCTGTAACCAAAGCTTCTTTCCACAAGTCAGGGACCTCCCCCCACAACATCGAAATGTTGAATATATGTGCAAGCGGAGCCGCAAGCGACGAGGCGCATTTTAGGTATACTATCTGAGGGATGCCATCAAATGTTTCAGTTATGGAAGGTTTTAGTTTGATAAGGAACTGGTAGACATTTGCGGGATGAAAATGAACATTATTGCAAAAATGGCGAGGCAGCACTGCATCAGCGCTTATTCTGTCAGCATCACTATCACTGTCATTAATAGCGACAGGAGAGTAAACGCTGGCAAAATAGGCACCAAGAGCATCTGCCTTATCTTTATCGCTAACATAAGAGGTACCAGAAGAATTTGTCAAAGTAGAGAAATGTTGGGAGGGCTTCATTTTATTCTTCAAATACGAAAAAAGATATTTAGACGACTTTCTTCTAGCAAGCATTCGTTCACGATATGAGAAATATTTTTTTATGTGATAGTCTATATCAGCACAAACTTTTTTATACAACGGGCAACTCAAAGGATTGGGCAGAGTATCAAAAAGACGTTGTTTTTGAGATATTAAGGCACGAATGTGTGGTGGCAGGTCGATCTTATGAATACCAGGAACTTTGACCCTAATCGGAACAAATTTGCTAAAGGCTTCATAAACTGTTAGGCAAAATCTTTTGTAGACTTCAGAACATGAGGTATAATTAATGAATAAGGAGAGCCAATCTACACTAAAGAAGTAAGAATTAAGAGAATTTAGTTAAGAATTTAAGATTTAGTTCACATTCGAGGGAAGAACGCATCCATGTTGACATTGACACAGAGATAAAATTCTGACATGTATTAAGCCGTATGAGCTTCATCAAGGTAGATGTGTCGCTTCAATTATCGACTCTGGTAAATAATGTCGTTTGCTAGCCACGGTGCCAACAGTTCTGTAAATGTTGCAGAGGTTCGAGGTTGTTTTCCTCCTTTTTTTTGCTACGTATGTCTTCTAGAGGTGAGAGAAAAAACGCTGCAATGATCTTACCACTTTCCTAGTCTGTATAAATTTTCAACTTGCGAAAAAATTTAAGAACTGCTTGTTACTCCATCCTATTTAGTTTACTACGCCCAGTTCAAGAAATTGCCACACGTGGATTCGAACATTTACAATGTGTCATACGACTATTTGTCCATTATGCATTATGACAAAGGTGCATTCCCAAGAAAAGGGGGAAAAGGACTAATCACTATGGAAACATTAGATCCCAAGTACCAGGTATGCGTTCACTGAATCGGTAGTCCGATGAATATATAAGTTTACGATGGTAAACTAGGGATGATCGGAAACCAAAGTGGCCAATCTAAACAATCTGCATAACATTAAATGCAGCATAAACTGACTTTGAATCTGTGTTCCATATCTGCTTAGCGTCTATGTGGGCGGAGTTACGAGGCGCTAAAGGCCGTTACTTTGCTGCCATGCAAAGTTCAGAGTTGGCGTGATAGAGCATGTTCGCTTTAATGCTGGGCTAAAACATGCACCTAAAGTCATTCTGTGTTTCTCAAGCCATATTTACACTGATCTGGCACTTGAAACAGATTTCTCTATATTTTAGTGGGCCTTAGGTTAGTACAATGCTTATATGTCCATCGTTTATCTCCCTGGGGCCATTGACAAACTGTTATCAGTTGCTGTTCGACGTGTTAGAGTTTTATTTTTTGTTTTTTGTTCTTTGGTGCACCATGAGTGTAAACTAAAATAAAATAAATTAAAATAAAATAAAATAAAGGCTGCTGTATGACGGAGGCGCACAAGCAGCGTTAGTTAAGCGGACACGAACGTTGCGCGCGCGTATCTTCACCATTATAAATTCTGCGCCTCATGCGCTCTGCGGCCAATAAAACCGCGTTCGGCTCAAAGATAATGCGCCTTCTTCTTGCAGCAGCCTAAAGGTTACTTTATATTCTTAAACCCTAAAGGTGAGCTGGAAAATGAAATAAATACTCAATTTCGCACTTTTCGTGCGCGATTTTCTTTCAATATGCTCAAAACTTGGTCCACAAGGCGCTAAGCAGATACAGACTACAAATTCGAAATCGGCTTAAATGTGCATCGAAATGTAGGCAGCTTGCTTGGATTGGCCAATTCGACTTCTGGCCATTGTCTTGTTAGATTAAACACTAAACAGATAGACACTATTTGCAATTCGCAGGATCTTATCGGGCATGCAACAGATGCTACTGAAAACGACTACTTGAAAGTATGTGAAATTTACGCATGCAAACGATGTAAGCTCTCCAAAAGAATCAGAATGACAACATTTATTCTCTGATGGAAATTGTGACCCTCTCAAGATTGATGGTCTTTATCTTGAAATAAATGCTTCGCTATTCGTTTTGTTTGGCCCCAAGCCAACACAGTTGAAAGGTTTGTTTTCACTGAATGGTTGGCGAAGCTAAGCGAGGTCACGATACACTTGCTGACCACAACCAGGTTCTTGCGATACACTTCTGCAAAGCATAACTTGCCACGCTATCTTATTTTCGTTGAGGTTTTTTTTTCTGAATTTCTTTGATAAAGTCTCGAAATGCTTTGGCAAAGAAAGCTTTCGCAAGATGCTGAAGAACGTACCAGCGTTGGCAGTTCCGATAGTATATTCTCAAACAAATCAATGCAATAAAAGTTGAAATTTAAAAAAGAACAGGTGCTTTCTTGAGGGGGTATTAAAGCATATTTTGCTTTTTAAAAGAATTTAAAGGCAGTGTCCAGGCAAATCTAATACGTGAGTTTCTTGCCTGGATACTGATGAGGAGGTTCCAGCTAAGGCACTGCCCAAATTGCAGCAAGAATAGTTCATTCACGGCTGAGAAAATCCATTCCCAAACACTCCGAGCCTTCGCCGTAACTTTTACCTTTTGATTCAACTGACTTGGCATCGGCAAAGGTGGGGCTTCGTGACCTAACTAAGGCTAGGTAATGATCAGAGAGCACTCGCGCGAGAGAGACGCAAGTGCGTCGCGGGCGCGAACGGCCTCAACTAGATCACAAAACCCCGCCCTAATGGTGCCAAGCCAGTTGAATCAAAGGTTAAAATGGATCTCAGCGCAAAAGTAGTGTTATGAGCGAATTCGTTTTCGAGTTATAGTCACAGCGCAGGCACGGGGTTTTCGGAGACCGATTTTTTAGCAAGTGAACCATTTGCGCTGCCCCTTGGACAGTGCCTTAGTTGGGACCCCTCATCAATTTCCAGCCAAAATCCCGGCGCCCAGATTTGTCTGGACACTACCCTCAAGATCAGCACTTATACAATAATTTATATTTAACAATTTTGCAAATTGGTTACTCTGAACAAATATAAACTCCAAAGTATAACAGCGCAGTCCGACAAGCTACTTGTGCGATAATTCATATTGAATAGTTCTGCAAATGGTTACTCAGAACAATGATGAAAACTTTGAAGTATTAGGTTGGTTTGAAAGTTCTTGCGTAATTTAAACAAAATTCGATAACTTTTCAATACCTAAAACTAATTTCACAGCTTTGTTTTCTAAAATTATTAGAATTGATATTATTTGTTCGTGTTCGTGAAACGGATGGACCAGTTCAGAAATCAGCTGGATACGATTTTCGCCCCTGAAACTCGTGGACGCAGTCACCGACGACGACCAAGAAGATTGTGGATGTCCGAAGCGAGGGACAAAGATCAATGGAAACTTCTGTACTGGGGCCCGCACGTCATGTGAGGACGGGCCATCTAAGTATCTAACAAGGAAGGTCGATTTGGTCGAAGTGGCCTTTTCAAACGAAATTGATACGGCTATAAAGAGCATCAAACGCTGATTTCAAATCTGCCTTTGTTATCTGCCGAGCGCCTCTGGAAGTCAAGTTATGAACGTTTTTTAAGTTGAAAAACTAAATGCATTCTTAGCACAATATTCACACAGAATTACTCAAATGGTCCAATGTTGATTAGCAAAGCACTCCACTTAAACAGTGCCTTCCATTCATAACACCCATACTTACCAGTGCTCTATTTGAGCGCTGAAAATACCGTAAAATCCGATTTTACCTAGATTTTACGTTCATTTTTCGCACCAAGAAAATGTTCATAACTGGGCATGCAGAGGCGCTCGGCAAACAATGAAGTCAGCTTTCGAATCAGCGTTTGATGCTCTTCAAAGTAGTATAAGAATCATTTGGAAAGGCCATTTCGACCAACTGCACCTCCCTTGTAAGTAAGTAAAATTATTAGAAGGCTTGCGCTCCATGACTGACGTTCAAGCGCAAGATTCAGCTAGACATCGAGGAACGATGCTCTCAAATATGGGGCTTCAAAATTTGCGATTTTGAGTTTGGCGCCAGAAAATCGTAGAGAGTCGCTAGCTAGCCGAAAAAATCTGCAAAAATCACATACACGCAGAAGCTCATATGTTGTTTTGGAAAGCTTCGATCTTGTGCGGTGAAGCAAGAACAAAAAATTCGTAAATTATGTCATTCTGCGGAAAAAATCCCCTCATTACCGCAGTTTTTCAGCAAAAACACTTTTTACACTCCAGAAAGCGTCGCAAGGTTCCAAATAGGCATTATGTCTTATTTCTGGCTACAAACTGTGTTTTTCTGGAAAAATTACAGCGATAAGGGGATTCATCCTGTAAAATCACAAATTCCGCAAATTTTTTTGTTTTCGCATTTCCATGCGATTAGAGCCTGCTGAAATAACGTATGGACTTTACTGTGTAAGTAATACCTACAGATTTTTTTTCGGCTAGGCGGTGGCTCTGCGATTTTCTGGCACCAAACTCAAAATCGCAAAATTTGAAGCCCTACATTTGAGCTTCGTTCTCGATGTCTAGATAATGAAATCTTGCGCTTAAACTTCTATCATGGAGCGCAGCCTTCTAATATTTTTAGAGTACAAGTTGTGAACTTAGGTTTAGGTGTTGAAAAGTTATTGAATTTTGTTTGAATTACGCAAGGACTTTCGAGTCAACCTAATATAATAGCGCTGTCCAACATTTGACGCCACTGCGATTGTAAGTGCTGCAATGCGTACACAACTGCATTTCCTAAAATTTATCATCTTTTTTTCCGAGAAAGCGTGTGTGGTGTAAGAGTAACAACAGCGATTGCCAGCCGCTGTTGTTACTCTTAAGACGCAAGGATGCACTATTTTCTTACTAAGCGCAAATTTCAGACTCAATGAAAGTTACTACAGCTTGGGAGATGCATACTTACAAGGGAAGGATAGTTGGATGCCGCGGCCATTCCTAATGATTTGTATACCAAAAAATGCGCCTCCGAATGCAGATTCTGAATCTGTGCTCGAAATCTGCGAAACGATCTTTTGAAGAAAGTTATGAACTTTTTTCCTTGAAAATTTAGCCTACTTTTGAATGGTAAAAATCACCAGATTTGATCTAGCCTACCGTTTGATGCTACTGAAGAAAATTTTGTACGTAGTAATATTTATTTAGACTATCTGGATCATACTCAGCATTTGGAAAAGAGAGAAAATTTTTTTATTGATGATTTTGACCCTCCGCAGGAACGCAATTTTTTTAATGAAAAAAATCATAACACCATTCAGATTATCGTTTCGCAGATATGAAAGACAGTCTACGAACCAGCATTCAAAAGCGCATTTTTTGGTATACAAATTATGAATGGCTACGACATCCAAGTATCCTTCCCCTGTTAGAAGATTCTGCACGAAACCCAATCAAAGTGCAATCTGATAGTGGTGTTGCAGATAAAAACGCGAATTACTCGAAGTTTTACCTTTGAAGTCCCTTCACACCAGTGGCGTACCCAGGATTTCGGCTCGGGGGGGGGGGGGGCGACAAAAAATTTTTTCTAAAGAAGGTGCGTGGCGTTAGCCACGCACTCCGAAAAAATTTTTGGGGTGCTTCTCAAAACTTTTGCGGGTCCCCGACTCCTAAAATCTGGAAAAAGGGGGCGTGGCTGACGCCACGCTTCCGAAAAAAATTTTTTACAAAGCTAATTTGAATTTTTACAAATTTTTGAAAATTATTTTAATTATTTACAAAAATAAACAAGTCACTTGCACATTTTTATAACCCATATAAGTAACTTTCAAAAATTTTGCGTCAGCGACCGCGCGCCCTCCCCCCGCCCCCCCCCCCCTCGGTACGCCACTGCTTCACACTATTTATAACGTACTAGCTCATATTCAAGCAAACGAAGTCAATTCAACTCCTTGGTCTGACTGAGCACAGAAGAAGAAAATGCTTTGAAATTTCTGAGTGCAGGTGATCAGAAATGAGATTGAAAGTTGCGCGTGTTATTGACATCCACCAGCTATCGCTTCCCCCTGCTTGCCACCCCAGAAAAAAACTGAAGTTCTTGTAAGGCAACCGTTTAGAAAGTCTTAAGGTAGTCAAGAGTCATCCGAACATGAAGTGGTGTCAGAGCACTTACGTTCAAATCATACCTTCTCTCGAAACTAAAGGTATCGTCCGGGTAAGCCGGCGACCTGTCGATATCTGTGCTTCTTTTGCCTTACCGTCATGCTAAACAAGAAAACGGCTCTAATGCTTGAAGCTGTCAAGATCAGGAAGTTTTCGCATCCTGTATGAAGAGGCCTGAACAAGGTGTCGGAATAGTAGAGTGTGGAAATTGAATTTGATGGTGCGAAGAATGCAGATGCTGGTCCCGATCAAAAACAGTATACATTCGACACGTTAGTGGGTTGCAAAGTACTTGTTCTATGTAAAGCGATCGTTTTCCGTATTAATCATGGCACCGCGCTTGAGGATGGCTCAGTTGGGGTCCTGTTGTCGTCCGCGTGAAAAGTAAATCTGCCCACTTTTATCCGGACGCTGCTTCAAAGCAGTCGGTGTCCTAAATATTAGGTTGGTAGAAAGTTCTCGGACATTGCCTTCACACAAAGATTTTGCTTCGATGCAAGCACCAAATAGGGCATGCTATACATCATTGGATAGAGGAAGGCAAGCACTACAAGAACATACTAATCACAACCATGACCAATGAATCCTGTGAAAATAGAGGTGAACATTCGAGGACATAGGATCTCGACAGAGCTCAGATTTCCACCTTCCGTAAACACTGCAACACTCACAAATAGTCCAATATATAGTAGACATGAATTCACATACATATATGCAAAGTCTGTATGGAATTTGAGCTTAATTAGCAGAAAAAATGAGATGATCGAAAAGTGGCAAACTCCACCCCTATTGACCCTAAGCTCCTCCCACCTGCACAGGTATAAGCCGTGTATATGTGAGAGTACAACTACAAATTTTCTCGTTTGTAGATGCATTACAACCCGAGAAATAGCAATCTTAGCGTGAAAATGTCCGGAAACTTTCTTACCAACCTAATATATAGAATGTGCAAAGGGACTGATACGGATTTACAAGTAATCGCGACGCACCCTTCCTTCCAGTTCATCTTTGGATTGTTTTTGGATTATTCGCATTGGTCAAAACGCTCACAGAATTTTACTCTCTAGAAGCTCAGCTCGGCTCGCCTCATAGATGGTATAGACAAGAAATACGTGTCTTAACAATTTTGTGGGGACAAAATGCGATCTTGACTGATGGGTTAGCTGATTTTGATTTGTTTCACTTTTCGAGGTCTTCCTTAATTCAGAAGAAAATATAGCAGTATCACCTTACGATAAACACGTTACGAAGTAGATAATTTCTGAAATCAAGCATTCATCTTCTTTGGCACATGCAAACGACACAAGCTAGAGTCAGGCATGTACGATCATAAGAAGATCGCATAAATTTACGTTTCAGGTTGGAGAGTATATCAACCATCTTGACAAGGACCTGCGACCCCGAGAAGCGCGCAATAGCCGCGGGTTTTTTTCCTTAGAAACGGCAAGCAAAAAAAACTTTTGGAAAACAAACCTTGAATGTTCGAGGAAATTTAAGCCGCTGTATGAGACATGCTCCTTATTTATTTATTTATTTATTTATTTATTTATTTATTTATTTATTTATTTATGTATTTATTTGTCTATTTATGCGTTCGATAGTGCGCCAACGAACTTGTTAGTTTAACAAGGTTGTTTGATTAGCAACAAACGATTGGACAAAAAGTAAGCGCTGGTTTTTCAAAAAAAAAAACTATGCTGCAAAAATAAAATTTGTAGCCCGCAGTCATAGGTATCTGTATAGATGTAAGTATAAGCGAAGGATGAACGGTCATGCTGCAACCATGGGTGCCCAAAAAACCAAAATAAATGATAACCTTTGAGTTATCACTTTCAACCAGGCCTAGACGCAGCTGGCACCGGGTCAAGCTGGATATCGTTTTTAGGGCGGAAAGCAAAGGGGATATCGTTTACCCGGGGTCCGGGACGGAGAAAGGCTGCAAGAATGCCGCCGGCGTGCCACCGGCATGCTGTCCGTCGAACAAACAAATGCGTTGTTTTCAGCCAAAACGCAATAGTATGACGCCAATTTTGGTGTGTGCATGCGCCTTGGGGGACTTGAACTATGGCCCAAAAATTTGTGAAAACTTATGTAAACGAAAGCTGTGCTGAACTTTTTTCTAAATTAGCTGGCACCGTGCCAGCTAATTTAGAAAAACACTTTTCTCACATAAGTAAAAAGTATGAAAACTTATGTGAGAAAAGTGTTGGTGCCAGCCCAGCTGGACCAACAATTTTCTCACATAAGTTTTCATACTTTTTTTACATAAAATGTCTCTACACTTCAAAAGTTTACATACGGAGAAAAAACAATTTCATAATGTTTCTTTTCAACGTTTTACAGCCGTCTGAAAATTAATCTGTCTGCTCCATAGTTGAAAAATTGGCTTATTTTGCTTTTCAAGATGTGATTCAACCACTTAAAGGCTCAGAAAGCTGTGAAAAGTTGTTCCATGAAATCAGCATGCATGAAAACCCTACTACATAATTTTACATAATCTAAAAATAATGACGGGTCTGCAAAACAGGTCAAGTACGAAATTTTCAGGATCAAACGGGACTTCGTTTTGAAAATTCCCCAGTGCCAGCTCGTGCCGAGCCCTGCTTTCGGTCCCCCCCCCCCAAGAACGGGTCGCGAAATTTTTGAAAGTTACTTACATGAGTTATAAAAATGTGCAAGTGACTTGTTTATTCTTGTAAACAATTAAAATAATTTTTTAAATTTTTTAAACACTCAAATTAGTTTTACAAAAAAATTTTTCGGGGGCGTGGTTAAGGGCCCGCAAAAATTTTGAGAAGTCCCCCTAAATTTTTTTCGGAGTGCGTAGCTAACGCCACGCACCTTTATTTGAAAAAAATTTTTTGCCCCCCCCCCCCTCCCCCCGAGCCGAAATCCTGGGTAGCCACTGACGGAGCTATTAACGATCAAACAGTGTTAACATTTTTCGGGACACCCTGTATAAAGCAGAAAATTTGTATGTTTGTGCACATTCCCCACAGTGAAGGATGTGCAATGAAGCACATTCTGTGGCCGTATTCAACAACGAACTCAACGAGTTCCACAAAGCAGTGGGTTCGCGATTTCGTAATTTTGCGAACCCACGCTAGGATCGATATTCATCATAAGCACTGCTGGGTTCGGTAACCCACTAGCTTCATGAATACCGGTTTCGTGGGTTAAGCCTATCCAGTGGGTTCCGGAACCCACTGGGTTCGTTGATGAATAGACCACTAATCTGCTGGTCACCAAACACGGTAAAGACGGTAGGAAGCGAACCCAAGACGAGTCGGGACCAAATGGACGGTAAGTACGATTGACTGACTCCAAACCGGGGTGGAACCCGGGATGCCAACTCGTGTTTTTATAAAATGTTATCCAGTTACTCCACGAGTGCAGCTGTGAAATAACTAAACTAGTGGACAAACTGGTGCAAAGCCTACTTCGAGCTCTAATTTGTACGATGTGGAGCCATACCAGCTTCCCGAAACCACCCTCCAAATTTGCTTTGTGTTTGTCGTAGGAAAATCGGCCTTTACTACCCGAATGCACACTGATCAACATATTTCTTCCCATTTCATACCATCTTCTCCCATACGTGTTTTCGCTTCATCTAGATATTCTTTAGCTTTTACAGCTCATGATGCTACTTTGCAGAAAGCAAAACGAAGTTGGAACGTTTCTTGTAGCCTCATTTGAAACTATTCATCAGATTAACAGTTGCCATACTCGCTCATTTTACTAACCCCGTCTTACTAGAGGATATTGAAAAACCTTGAAAAAATACCTGCATAATGTTGACTCTTACAAACGACAATTTATGCAATAAAACCTTTTATTAACGGGATTATATCAGCTGAAGTTTGACAAGTTTCATATCTCCGTAGAATTCTACTTCAGAGATCTATTGAATTTCTGCGACATAGCAGCTGGTCCATAAGATCGCGACTCGTGCTCGGGAGGATCCCTAGGAAAAGTTGGCCGATTGGACTCAATGGCTTCTGCTTTTTGTTGTCTCTCCTGCAATTTGTACTATTTTGCACTGCATAAATACGGTACAAAAGCACAGTGTCAATAGAAAGAACTAGCGGAACTGGGGAAATAAGGAAACAGGAGGAGAGGAAACATGTACGAGATCGTGGTATAAGGAAGTGGTAAGCGAGCACTATACTATCCGAAATGTTAAGCCATGCCGAAACTAACAATGGTTTAGTTTTGGGAACATAATATATGTAAAAAGGTCTGACTTCAAACTCCAGTTTTAAGTAATACTAGCTGGCAAACCCGGCCCCCCGCCCCTTCCAATAATTTTTTCGCAATCAGCATGCGCACTTTCCCCTTGTGCCAACTTCCAGCCCTGTCGCTCAAACTTTGCAAAAAATCGACAAAATGGATATCGATCGACAGCAAAAAGTAGATTGCGACACCCGCTCCACCCCAAAGTGTATTTGTGCAAAATTTGGTCCGTATCACCAGTCTAGTTGGCCCTGTTAAAGCATTCGAGGATGGGCGGTCGTAATTTCAACAGACAAATGTGAAAACAGGGGGTTCAGCTCATTTTAACTGATCTGAGGGGAGTCTACTATGAGCTATCGTCTAAACATGCTTGAACTTGTTCTTGCGTGATTTCAAGTAGCAAGTAATGCTAGGTGAGATAGACTACAAGCAACTTGTCAACAACATAGCTTGCTTAAAGGCAGTGTCTCACCAAAGTTGAGGTCGCGCGGATCTTTACATATTCTATTATAGGGACCTCTAATTAGGCCATTGCGACAAGCATACCTTCGATACATAGAGCCACGTACTCTGGTAACCTTCACTTTGAGTGTCATGAGAGGACACAACCTTCACCTAAAGAGGAGTACAAGTCATCCGGGGCGAAGCCCCGGATATTTATTATGACATAACTAATGACTAACTATGTAAGGATGAATGTGAATGAGGCAAATATAGTAGTGACATCCAAAGAAAAGCTCAAAAAACCGAAAGATTGCGTTTCCATGGCCTTTTTTGCTGAAAAGAGGGTTTTTCTTCAAAAATTCAGTTAGAACTTAGGATAAAACTTATCAGTCAACCTTTCTATAGACTGCGATTGAGCGTTGGAGGTTCATGAAAGCCGCTGGAGTTCAACAAAAACGAGAAACTGCGCTGAAATCTTGCGCAGAGAGTCGCCACATAAATGCTGGTCTATCTCGTTATGGAGTGAGATTCAAGACCCGCGACGTTGTCAGTGCTCTTGGCCGTGTCATGAGGATCACAACGATATATAATGTTATAGGGTTTCGTTATGACCCCGCGGAGATCAATGACCAGAGCCAAATGCCCCGCTGGCTCTGGTCTCTCTCCGCTGCTCGTCTGCGTCTCCGCGCGCTGCGCGCTACCTCGCTACCCCGAGCGCGGGGCGCGGGGCATTTGGCTCTGGTACCCTTTTCTTCGCTGTTTCGAACCCAATTTTAGCAAGCTATATATCATTTTGAAGCTCTTGATCTCTATTTTCACGCTGACAACGTCGCAGGACTCCTTTTTATGATTTAAGCAAGAAATCCGGCAAAAACCTTGTTTTTGAAAATCTCTCGTTTTTCTCCTAGTTTGACTCTTTTCACGCAGTTTTTTTGTGTAGTCGATAGGTCTTGTTTCTGTCTATAATGTAGACAACGTGCCGAGCTTATTTCTTTGCTTATGCCGCTTTTTTTTGTGAAAATTACTAAAAAATGCGTTTTTCTTTACCTTATTCTTTTTCAGTAGTTTCGCAACGAATTTTCTCCAGCTTGGACGATACTTGCTCAGAATGATGAGCGGAAGAATCCAGACAACGTCGCAGGGTACAAGAGGGACGGCGCGGGGGTAAAAATTTAAAGGACGCATCAAAAATTAAAACCCCGTGTTGCGAATTGCTGGTCCTGGAGCGAAAACTTGCACTCTGTAAAGCCGCCAAATGAAAGATTTCAAATCTTATTGCGGCGTTTTTATCCGGTTTACAGCCGTTTCTTTTGCTTTTTATGTCTGTTTTACGTCATATTCTCTTCTCTGATCTTCTTTGAACAACCTTCACCATTTGTGACGTCAGATGTTCAAACAACCTTCACTTTTGGCGCCCTGTCTCTAGACTATCGAAGGTATGGCGACAAGTCCCACTCATTTTGACCCCCTCCACGCTGAGAAAAATTCGCTCAAAGTAGTACGCGGAGAGCGACTTGGTACGCGCGGACGACTCCCTCGGTCTCCTCCCTTACGCGTTTGAACATGTCCCTCCACTTGGCATCACCTCCCCTCTGTTGCTGCCACTGTGGCTGAGCCTGAAGTTGGAAGGTACAACTCGTCCACGTTGCTTCAGCGGGGCCTCCAGAAAACGGGGTTCATGGGAACTTTGTGCGATTCTAAGCCCATACAGTGCTAGACAGGGTCCAACAGGTTTGCAAAATGCAAAAATTTCAGCGACTAAATTTTGGTGAGACACTGCCTTTAAAGGCAGCGTCCAGGCAAGATCCATCCACCCAGATTAGCGCATATTTGTAAAGAGGGGCCCATGAGTATCCGATCTGCCTTGGTCCGATCCTTTGACGTGGCCTCTAAAAGGAGATACGGGCCTGTGATACGTATCACAAAACCGCCCCTTCGTATCACAAACCACCCCTGAGGACGAGTGCTCACGCAGGTGTGCAGTTGCATTGCAGCTGTACTGCACACTGCCAGCAACTGCATCCGTGCAGTGCAGCTCCTCAAGCTGGCACGCTATGGGGACGAGCAATCCGAAACTCGTCCGCTCCTTGAAGAGAGGGTCCCCAAAATCGGGTTTTTTGGGGTTTGAACAATTTGGACTTTACAACTGTAATCAGGGCCACGGAAAGGCCCCAGAATGGCAGAAACATGAGAGGCGAAATTTTGCCCGGAAGCTGCCTCTAAGTAATGTGTGCAAAGCGCTGTCGAATCTAGAATGTTATATATAGAAACTAACTCGAACTCTTTTCTTGAACAACTTTGTTTGTTCCCGTACTAGTTCAGCCTCGGTGATGTATTCCGGATCCGTATGAAACGCGTTCATTAGAGTTTCCATGGATATAATCGGCGCCGATTTGGTTCGCATATGCTCTGTTGGGCATACCTCAATTGCAATTTGTGAGCCATATAGAGATCATTAGTGAAATGCGTATCATCCAGTCTCGACCTAGGAGACGCACAGCTGTGCGTTTGATTAACAAGTTTAGACTTGTGCTTATCCTTATCCAGAAAATTTTATTGTCCCAAATCTTGGAAGAAACAAGTCTGATCCTGTTGAGCGGTGTGTGCGTAGTGTTTTCGAGTATTCTAATTCGAAAAATGGATGATAAATGCTCAACTATATATAATCACCTTGATAGCAAGTCTTGCTGGTTTACTGTTGGGCACAGTGGAAATATTCATGGCCATTCCAGTTGGCTTAGCAAGGAACCTCAGAAGCGCTTGTTCGATCACCTAAATATATTACTTCCTAAATTTAGTGACTTTTTGAGAATTAGAACTACATGGACCTTTTTGCTCTGTTCCAACGAACCCTTTTCTGCTCTCTGTACTTCGAGAGTTTTCTTATTTTTCTCCTTATGTTCTAGCAATCTAAATACTCAGATTCTAGAGTCCGTTTACCTCAGCAGTATGTAAAGTACTTGTTTATTTCATTTCATTTCATTTATTGCATAGGGTAACCCTATGATAACTGCAACAATAACAAAAAAAAAAAGAACATACGAAACCAGAACACAACAAAAATGGAATCATGAGTGATAGCTCGTGACCAACCCGTGTTAGTAACAACAAATTACCGAGACTGTAGATAGTTCCTTAAAACAGACTTAAACGTAGACAACTTTGCAGGAAACAGGCGTTTTCTAATAAGCTTGTCCATGTCATTGATTACACGACATGTAAAAAAGTGTCGGCGAACTTTGTGTTTTGATCTGGAGATAATCAATTTTCTACTCCCTCCCCTTGTATTAGAAATCCTGGTAGGAAAAAATACCCCGAAATCCAAGCCACAATGACCATACGCAATCTTATGTGCCATGAGAAGGTCAAACTTACGCCTTCTATAGGCAAGGGAAGAAAGCCCTAATTCAGTGTTCCTAGTCATACCATTCGGTATGAGATCATATCTGAAACCAATTCTTCGGATGAAAAGTTTGCGTGTAAAACTATTCTGAACTCTTTCCATATAGTCAATCGTTTTATGCAAATGAGGACAAAAAATAACAGTTCCATATTCAACCATAGGTCTGATGAACGATTTGTAAGCTTTCAATAGAGAAGCCGTGTCATTAATTGCGAAAGCCCTGAACAAGTTATATACCGATCTAGTGGCTTTATCTGCTATCAACTTGCAGTGATCATCGAAGGTGAGGTCGCTTTTGACCATGAAGCCCAGATCTCTTATAGAATCAACTTCTTGAAGATAAGTTTCCCCAAGGACATACTTAAAGTTTGGATTAGATGTCTTTGGACCGATATGGATCACTTTAGTTTTCTCTGCAGAAATAGGAAGAGACCACTCCTGCGACCAATCATAAACCTCATTGAGTGCTCTTTGCAACCGTTCATAGTCTGTCACATCCTTGACAACTGCATACAGTTTGAAATCGTCAGCGAAAGCGCTGCAGGAAATCCCCTGGCTTAAAGGAATAGAAGGAAGCTCGTGAGTATAGATATTAAATAGCAGAGGTGAAAGCACACCACCTTGTGGCACACCGCTATGCATCTTCCTCAGACTGGAGAAAGAGCCATTAACACGCACCGTGAAAGATCTGTCCTCCAGAAAGGCTTTTATCCACGCCACAACACGTGGGTGTATTCCTACCATAACCAATTTCTGCAACAGCTTAGGGTGTGGTACTTTATCAAAAGCTTTGGTGAAATCCAAATAAATAACATCGGTATTCAGCCTATTCTCAAAGTTTTGTGTCCAATCATTGAGGCATTGCAACATGGCTGTCGTCGTGGACTTACCACTCTGAAAACCATGTTGGACAGGAGAAATAATTCTATTGCTCTCTAGATGCTTGATAATACGCCTTTTCAGTATCTTTTCAAAGAGCCTCGCAAAAATTGAGGTAATGCTAACGGGGCGAAAGTTATAAGGAGAGGTAAACGGTTTCTTTTTCGGAATCGGAGTCACATATGAAGCCCGCCACCTATCCGGTACCTCGGCCTTCATCATACTCAAATTGAACAGGAACTGGAGGGGCCCGGCTATCACGTGCGCAATCAACTTTATGAACTCTAGTGGAACCATATCAGGTGTCACGGAAGTTGACTTGGGCCAAGCAATCAGCAACTTGTAGATTTCCTCACCATAAAACCACGGTCCATCATCCATCACAGCACAACAAGGAGTACTGTGACCTCCATGATCAATGGAACAATCCCTTTGAAAGCCATTTTCAAAAACATCTGCAAAATATTCGGCTTTATCGAAATCATTTGTTACTACAGTCCCATTATCAGACAACAATACCCCTATCCTGCTCTTTTCCTTGAGTCTAGAACTAATAAGCCTGAAAAACGAACCCTTCTTTCCCGAGTCAATGATCTTGCGTTCTACAGACGCATTGTACTTTCTCAATCTTTTGGCGAATATATCATTGATTCTAATAAATTCATCCCAATTGCACACGTATCCGCTGTCAGCCACCCTATTCCACGCACGCTCCCTTTTATTATATAGTACCCGGAGGTAGCTTGGTAGATTGATTGTTGCCAGTGGGATATCCCTCAAGGGAACAAAAAGTTCTATGGCATGATGTAGTATATGAATAAATAGTTCATACTTTTCATTGATGGACTCAACTGTACCGAATGATCCGTACCAATCCACCCCTCTCAAGTAATCAATAAGTTTATCCTGATTAACATGTTTGAAATCTCTACGTCTTATGTATCCAGTTTGAACGGTGGGATTGGTGATCACAAATCTAACGGTTGCATGATCGCTTGAACCAAGAGGAGCCCCAACATTTACCTCCCTGATTAAATGCTCATCATTAGTTAAGATCAAATCAAGAATATTATGTCGTAGTGTATGAGAGAAAACTTTTTGGGATAGACCATGCAAGCGACACATATCCAAGAAATCCCTTGCAGCGGACGCATGTCCTGACACAACACAGAGGTTAGTCCAATTGATTCCTGGCAAATTGAAGTCACCCATGATCAAAACGGAGTTGCAGCACCCAATGAGATCAGTGATTGCATTAATCATTTGCATCGTTTTATAACTCGAGCAGGAGGGAGTCCTATACAACAAGATAAGACGCACGGTCTTGTAAGAATAGATGTCGGTGCAAAGAAGTTCATAACTATCGGGTTCAGATTCACTGAACACCATATGAGGGTTAAGCTTAGAGGTCATGATCCTCTAAAAGGAGATACGGGCCTGTGATACGTATCACAAAACCGCCCCTTCGTATCACAAACCACCCCTGAGGACGAGTGCTCACGCAGGTGTGCAGTTGCATTGCAGCTGTACTGCACACTGCCAGCAACTGCATCCGTGCAGTGCAGCTCCTCAAGCTGGCACGCTATGGGGACGAGCAATCCGAAACTCGTCCGCTCCTTGAAGAGAGGGTCCCCAAAATCGGGTTTTTTGGGGTTTGAACAATTTGGACTTTACAACTGTAATCAGGGCCACGGAAAGGCCCCAGAATGGCAGAAACATGAGAGGCGAAATTTTGCCCGGAAGCTGCCTCTAAGTAATGTGTGCAAAGCGCTGTCGAATCTAGAATGTTATATATAGAAACTAACTCGAACTCTTTTCTTGAACAACTTTGTTTGTTCCCGTACTAGTTCAGCCTCGGTGATGTATTCCGGATCCGTATGAAACGCGTTCATTAGAGTTTCCATGGATATAATCGGCGCCGATTTGGTTCGCATATGCTCTGTTGGGCATACCTCAATTGCAATTTGTGAGCCATATAGAGATCATTAGTGAAATGCGTATCATCCAGTCTCGACCTAGGAGACGCACAGCTGTGCGTTTGATTAACAAGTTTAGACTTGTGCTTATCCTTATCCAGAAAATTTTATTGTCCCAAATCTTGGAAGAAACAAGTCTGATCCTGTTGAGCGGTGTGTGCGTAGTGTTTTCGAGTATTCTAATTCGAAAAATGGATGATAAATGCTCAACTATATATAATCACCTTGATAGCAAGTCTTGCTGGTTTACTGTTGGGCACAGTGGAAATATTCATGGCCATTCCAGTTGGCTTAGCAAGGAACCTCAGAAGCGCTTGTTCGATCACCTAAATATATTACTTCCTAAATTTAGTGACTTTTTGAGAATTAGAACTACATGGACCTTTTTGCTCTGTTCCAACGAACCCTTTTCTGCTCTCTGTACTTCGAGAGTTTTCTTATTTTTCTCCTTATGTTCTAGCAATCTAAATACTCAGATTCTAGAGTCCGTTTACCTCAGCAGTATGTAAAGTACTTGTTTAGCCTTTTCAGCAGGTCCCATTCAACTGGCTCAGGTTTCACTGGAGCTGGCAGAAGCTCAATTTCATGTGCGTAGTAAGGCCGATCATTTGTGGCAGTTCCCTAGAAATTTCGATTACTGACAACTTTGTGTGGAAGATCTATGTAAAAAGCCAAAGCTACCTCGGTAGCATATCGTATTTCCCTTTCTTCAAATCGACGAGGAGTGATAATTGTATCGTACGATATAGTTCCAGAGGAATTTGAATAATTGGAGAGTATATCCGGATAATATTCTGCTACCTGAAGTGGCCCAAGTCATATGGCTGTTCCATCAAAATAGAGGCATTTCGTTAGGTTGTGAGATAGGGATCTCGATCCCGTGACAGGAACCTTTGCACTGTGGAATTTTGTAAAGGGGGAATGGCAATGTGATGGTTGCGACTTTGTTCTAGATGTGAAATCTGCCCCGTGACCAGAGCTTGGTAATGGAAATTGAAAAAAAAAAGATCAGTCATTCACGCTGCAAAAATTATGACACCTTTTGAGGTGTTAACAGATATATTCAAGCAATCTGACAAGCACGGTGAGCGGACGAAAGAAGGTACCCTATTTTCAGGTGTATAAGCCGCACCCTTTTCACTCTAAAGGCGCACACGTCAAAAAACTGCCTTTACGATGGGGCGCGTTAAGTGAGAGCAATGTGCGAGAAAGCGATCGCGTTGCGAGGCACATGCGCAGCGGCACGCCTGGGTCTGCTCACGTTTAGAGCAAAAAAGATGCGGTTTATACACCTGAAAATAGGGTAAAAGACAATGAAAATCAGGAAAGTGCCGTAGGCACAAAGGCACAAAATACATGTTTTAACAGTGTTATTAACGTCGATGGAATGAGCGGGGGAGAGAGAGGTTTGAAAGTTACCTACATGAGTTATAAAATTGGCATGTGACTTGTTCACTTATGAACAATCAGAGTAACTTTTGGCATTTTTCAAGAGTTCAAATTGCTTTGTAAAAAAAAATTCGATGGCTATGCTGTGTCTCCTTTTCGAGAGTTTCAAAGTTACAAGGCCGGCTAAAGAGTTGGAAAACATCCCAAAAAACTTTTAGATGTTGTTCTGCCCCCGATCAAGATTTCTCGTACGCTGGTTTTATATGTTCGAAGTGAAGAAAATGGAGCTTAGGATGACTTAAATACTAATGATTAGGGTTCGGATTGGAGAATTAGATGAAACAAAATTGAAAAAAACATTTGAAAGGAAGAATCATGGTTCTTGGGCTTGGCGTGACTGGCACCGAACTGGCATCGAGGGGGCCAATTTTTCAGAAGAACTTGCCACGCTCTCGTAAATTACATAGCGTACAGTCGCGTAAATTTTGAATTTTTGTAAAATTTCATGTGATAGAAAAAGTAACAAGACTATTGTCATGTAATGAACACAGATGGTGATAGAGGCTTTTGTGTTCTGAGTAGAAATGATCTAGGCAATCTAAGGCCTCAGATAGAGTTCACGCGATTTCATTGTCGCGATCCATCGCTACAAACAAGTGTTACGAGTACATTGCATGCCGATCTTCTTGTATGTCGGTTGTGATAGTTAGTCAAGATTAGTCGTGTTGGAAAACTATCACAAATGCAAGAAGATCGGCATGCAATGATATTGTTACAGTTGTTTTGTCGCAACCAATTGCGACGATGAAATCGCCTAAGGCTTCGGACAGAGTTCACGCGATTTGATCGTCGCGATTCAATCGCCGCGATTTCCATTCATTTTCATTTTACATTCAAAAATTTCGGGCTGGAAAAGTATCACAACCGAAATGCAAGCTGGTCAGCATGCAATGAACTCGTAACAGTTGTCTTGTCGCGATTGAATCGCGACGATCAAATCGCGTGAACTCTGCCCGAGGCCTAACAAAATAAAATCTAGTGTTTATTCGAATGCGTTCTACTGTTATTCTTAGTGATTTTTGGCAAAGCGATGGTGATACTATTAGCCGAAAAAGATACGTAAAACTCACATACTCGTCCTTAATTATAGCGCGTTAGATACGTAAAACTCACATACTCGTCCTTAATTATAGCGCGTTTTTCTTCCTTAGCTGCCATTGACTTGATGATTGAAGCAGCTATTCTGAAGTCTATATGTTGTTGTCACCAAACTCCTAGGTTATCGAGTACTCGCCTGCTTTCTGTTTTGTATGCCGATGCAACCAAGATTGCCAACACTGATTAACAAAACGCTCGGCCAACTCGAAGAGTCACGAAATTGCAAAATGAGCCTCCTCAACAATCATGCTTGCAAGTGAACAAATGAAATGCAGAGAGAATAATTCCCTGCATAGCGGAAAAATAATTGGTTAGTCAGCTCCCTGGCTCTCACATAAGTATCATTCGCATGAGTTTTCAACTATGCAAAATAGTTTTTGCAGCGAATTGTAGAGCTTGCTGAGCTGTGAACTAAAACAGATAAACAGGGTCTGTAGGACCGTCCAAAAATGCTAATTCATAAAGACCTTGATACTAGTTTTAAGATCACTCTATAAAGCCGACGTAGTATGGATACGAAAATAAGGTCGTTCATACTCCAGTTCAGACTTTGCGGTAACAATAAGCATGCTCCATAGAGATATGGTCCTAGGAAGGGTTTAGGAAAGTTCCAAACAAAATTCGGCAAACTGGTCATCTACCGTACACCTACCGCACGCCGAAAATTGTGCAAAACCACCAAGCAATAGACTTCTAACGAGCTAATCACAACTGACATCCATTCACTTGGAATCCTTTCAGGAATGGTATTAGTCACAGAAAGTACGCTTATTCGAGGAAATTTATGAGTAGCATTGTGTTATGTACCTTGACAGTTCTAATGAATTGCAAAAATGACCTAACTCGATGGTTTCAAAGAAATTTGTTCACAAATTCTCACTCGCTATACATTCGTTAACATGCTGCAACGATGACAGCTGTGCGATTAATTCTTCGACCCACATTCTTGGAAGAATGAGTTATTTCTTGAGGAATTAGACATCTGCAATTTTCTTTATCTTCTTTCTTGAATAAAGCACAACATGTCAAGTGTCATACAACGCTAAAGATTAAAAGTGCTAAGCTGTCCAGCAAAGAACAAAACTAGAGTCTCAGAGAAATGCTATCAGGGTCTGACAAAAGAAAAGCAAATTTTATCCAAAAAAAATTGCTTCTGAAGGCAGAGAAAAAAGATGTTGAACGAGATGTGAGGCACAGTAACAGAAAACCGATATTTTATTCGCAACCAAGAGAATCATTAAAATTTGGAAGTATTGTATTTCTACCATTATTTGAATGATACACATGGGCTTAGTAACATTTGCATTTACCAGTTAAGATCTGATTTTCAAATGGGATATTGCAGAATTTTACATTGACAAACCATCCTCCACTCCCGATTGCATTTTTGGGTCGAATTCTGAGCGCTATCTTTTTTTTATTTACACCTATCGCTCATCTTGGCCAGCAGCCCTTGGGTATTTAGCTGTGGAGAGACACAATAGAATTCAAGAGAGGGCAGTTGTATCTTCTTTCCCCAAGGATTAGCAGCTTCTATAGTTATCACATTTGGCTAAGATTATTCTTCCCGATGCGAGGTTGGAAATTAATAGTTAGAGACCAATTTTGAAGCAGAATGTTAACAATTTGAAATTATCAACAAGTTGGTTCAAAAGTTCTCCATCGGAATTTAAAAACTGTTGCTTCTTATGGTTTGCACTTTCTACAAAAGTCTACAAAAACAGTGGCTAAGTGAAATTGTCATCTTTTGAACTTCAATACTTGGAGTTGCTGAAAGTTCCAAAAAAGTCTAAAGAAATTCCGAATCTTCTTTTGATGTTGGAAATTGGAGATTGAATACCAATTACGATATCGCCTTTATCTTTCTGTAATCCACACGTAAAAGTGAAAATAATGTGAAGTAAAAATTTTTTCACTGAAGTGAGAGTTCGAGCTAGTGGATCTTTCTACTATTACGTAGATTTTCGGCTTTTGCGACGAGAGATAAATTTAGAAATCGATCTATTTAGAATAAAACTTCTAATATGCATGATAGAATGAAACGAATCTCTTATATTACAAAATATAAATAAGAAGTTCAGTAGTTTTTGTTTGAAACATGTCTTAGGAAAATGCATGGTATTTTTGGTGATCAACTTATGAACCCACGATTCGTTTCCAAATCTAAATCAAAGCAATTAAAATACTCAGTCTGAAGGCGAAAAAGCTCGAACTTTTATTTGCTGATTTTGTCAATTGCACGCGGTTCGAGTAATCATCTTTTGCGTAAGTATGTAAATTCTACATAATTGTCACATTCACTCACTGGGTGACTATGACATAGTATAACAATTTTTGAAGAGTTTTACTCCAGATTTACTGCTCCACATTCACCATCCGAACGGTATTACCATTTTAGGTGATCGATGCTGTCTCGATGTTTCGCTCGCCTCCGATGTCGCTCTCGTTTGACCGGCACCAGCTGTCGACAACATCTGCACGGTCATTATTTGGTCACCACTACAATTCCATGAACAGAAGGTGGTCGGACAGTAGGGGCGACGTTGATCCTCTCTTTTGATGGTCCCAGAATTCCTAGAAACCAAAGGTGTAGGGAAGTAAAGTTACAAAATCGAAAATCGATTTTTTCCTAATTTTTTTTTCAGATTTTTTGCGCATTACTGGCTATTTTTAGATTTTGTCTTTTTCATATCCCCACAAATGCAATATCAACAACGCCTGGCAGCTAAGAAAATAATATAAAAGCGAGACAAAGTACACGGAATGGCCTAATAAGCACTTATGAGTCAGCAGCTGCCCGCACTACCGTATACCGTACCAATGTAAACATTGTCATCGACACAGTTGAGGCATCGCCCTTCTTTGGGCGAATTTTCCCTCAAAACTGAAAAACTACTAGATATGGAAGTAGCAGACAATTCTAGCTATACGCATGCAACATGCCAATTTTCAAGCCAATTTTGCATAACGCAATGAAGCGTCAACAAGTGCTGGCAATTGAACAAAACAAAATTTACGAAAATTACTTATTGGATTCGATTTTGGCTCAGCTGTGAGCTGGAAAACGTGAGGGTGGTAAAATGCCTATGAACAGCTCAATGATTCGGACTTATTCAGTAGGATTTAAGTCCTAGTGAAAAGCAAACATTTTAATTTGAACGCTCAGATCCAATTCCGATGCTTGGGACTAGTGGCGGGGATTACACCCACACAAATCAGAACATGCTGATAACTTTAGGTTGATCTATAAGTCGTGACTAAAAAATGCTAAAATTTTATCTGAAAATATACAAAAAACGTTTCCATGTTAAAATATTCAAAAAATGTTTTCATGTTACATTTTAAACCTACAGTAACTATTATACATCATTCAACTATGCATATCAGCAATTTTATTTGAAATAAAATCGAAATGTCGAAAATTGATAGAAAAGAAGAAAATCGTAATTATCCGTAGAAACAATCAACCGTTCAAATTTTTCGTAACTGCAAAGCTCATTCGTTTACCCCGAAAAGCGTAAGTCGTGAACTCCAACTAAAAACAAAATTGAAATTTCTTGGAATTTTTAATTTTTTCAGAGTGTAAACATAAGCACTGTTTGAGCGTTTCTCTTGATCAGCTTGCACCATGGAAAAATGGATTTTTGTTCCAAACCCTATCAGAAAGGGAGTGGTTTCTTTTCTTACCAATCTACAATGGACTAAAGAATTTTCTGAAACAGCAAAGTTATTGTTTGATTTTTCAAAAGTTACAAGACTTATAGAACAACCTAAATTTTTGAAAAGGCCCAGAGATAGGCAATTTCAAATATTCAAAACATTAGCTTGATCTACTTATTGCATTTCTTTCGTTTTCCAAATCAATGCTTGGCTGGACTCTGAAACCTAGCAAGCACTCAGACAAGCCCATCCATTTACCGCTAACGAGGTTAATAAACGGGAGCGATTTAGGGGATCAGGATTACTCTACTTGGATGGACAGAACCAAATATTCTAGGGGTATCAATTGGACATATAAGGGTGAGAATGTGCGATACTGAAGTTGATGCTGATGGCTCTATTTGCAAGTTTAATTGATTCTAGACAAATTTTCTCACAAAACTGAATTTATGCTGGAATTCCATTGGAAATAGTCTCTTTGAATATTTGGAAGCAAAATCCCTATTCTCGTTCATCACAGCTCAACAAAAAGGGAGATGGACCTTCTCGCTAATCCCCAGCGAGTTCTTAGCCTAAGCCGCACATCTGTCCCCTTTTACGGTCCGTGGATGCTGATTTTCCCTATTCGCAGCTAATCGACACATGCCGAGCTCGCAGGAGCTCAGCTCGGTCAGTCGGTCCATTAGGCATGCAGCTGCTCGCAGTGCTCGCGCGGCTGCACGCGAATCGCCGCGGAGCGCGGGGCGGGGCGGCGCGCAGCGCAGCCAATCGCCGGCGGCGGGCGGAGTCCCGGCGCTCACAAGCGTGGAATTAATGAGAGCGTGCGGCTAATGGCATTAGACTAGCCGTGTCGTCGTGTCGTCGTCGTCGTGTCGTGCCGTGTCGTCTTGTGTCCTCCGTCAAGCAAAATCTCATCTCTACCGGCTACCGCGTCCTACCTTACCCTACCACTACTGATCTTCTGTGCTTCGTCGTCATCGTCATCGTCGTCGTCGTCGTCGTCGTGAAACCTCCTCCAAAAACACTAGAAGCTGCTTATTCGATTTTCACCCCCTATTCCCCTATTGTATGGCTAGTATCTGCGCCACAAGTGATCATCTAAAAATTCACAACAACAAACGCGACACTACTTCCAAATCTGAAATGCGGGCCAGTTCTACGTCATCCACGGATTCGAACGGTTTTCCGGTCAAAGACGCTGATGCGCTGAAGCTGTTCGTTGGACAGGTAAGAGCTCTACTCTATTCCCTCAGTGCCCCTTCCCCCATTCAGTAAATTCTATTTACTCCTCGCCCCAATAAGCAAATCTCTTGTTTACCCATCTCTCACCGAGCCTAAGGCGGTGATACTCGTCCCGTGCGTGCGGCACCGGCAGAATCGATACGAAAGCTCCCTTCTTTTTCCCTTTGAGGGCTCGAAGGGCAAACTCAGTCAGATATCAACCATTAGGAGTGAATTCACACAGCACATTCCGCACAAGGGGCGAAGGCTAAGAAAAGTTGGAAAATAACATCAAAAATTTGCAGATTCCACGTAATCTCGAGGAGAAAGACCTACGCCATTTGTTTGAGCAATTTGGCAAGATCTACGAGTTTACCATACTCAAGGATAAGTACACTGGTAAGAGCATTCAGCTAGAAAATTGGCCCGCTTCCAGCTTATCTTAGAATTTTTTAGGTATGCACAAAGGTTGCGCTTTTCTCACCTATTGTCATCGTGATAGTGCTATCAAATGTCAGGCAGCTCTCCACGATCAAAAAACTTTACCTGGGGTAAGTCAATCAATAATTTTTCATCAGACCTTTAATCTGCTGGTAAAAGAGCCCTCCAGAAGCTTCTTCTCTCCCAATATTTCTCTTCTTCATCTCCTAAAAATTCTCCTTCTCCCAGGAGAATTTTCTCTCTTTCGCTTATGTATAGCTTTAGCAATAAACTACCTTCCTCGCTTACAGCTTATTTATTCATCCATTCACCTCCCCATTCAAGCCAATAAATTCCATCAATGAATCACTTTTCTTGCGCGAACGCAAATCCCGACTACAGTACTACTAGTAATCGCATCTTGTTGATTCTCGCCACGCATAACTCTCTCAATTCTATAAAGCAAGCCCCGTAAGAAATTGCCATGAACGTTGCCATGACACCCAGATTCCTGCTGTCAACTAGAAATTTGCACAAATACTCGGAATTGCTTGGCAATTCAAGCGTTATACGAATGCCAAAGCGCTATCGGGGATAAATAGGGGGAGGGAGGGGGCTGTGGTAGGGGTTTTTAGCTTAGACAACAGACGGGAACTTCCGCCGGACAAGAAGCATTTTGCAGCTGTTCTACAAGATTTTGTTTACAACCACAAAAGTTCAAGCGTCCAAAATGGGAAATTCCCCAGGAATTTGGCGCCACACATGTTAGAAACGGGAACTTCCACAGGATTATCCACAAAGGTTGCGGGAGTTTCGTTCCCCCAATTTCTGCGGAAGCTCCGGTCAATCGTTTGTCGGGGGGGGGGGGGGGGGAGGGGAATGAACTTGTATACCCAAAACCAAGGCTAAGGCCTTAACGTCCGTGATGACAAGTTAATACTTGTATTTTACCTCATCTTGGCCGATTTACGACTGGAATTAGGACTTACATGTTCGCACTTGTTAATCTTACTTGCGCAGACAGTCTGGGTATTGTGGGTCTTAGCACGAATGTTATCCAGCTTATAGCTTAGATCTTAGTACTAAAAAATCTGCTTCCTGCCCCCCTTCCCCCCCCCCCTCCCGCCCCTCCAATCACGCAACAACCCTATCGACGCTCTTAATCAACTCTTTACGGACGTAATCCTCTTCTAGCCATAGCTCTCAAGAGAAAGGACAGCCAGGTGTTTGGGCCCGTTCAGTGACCTCTAAAGCCCCTTTCATTAAGTGGGGTATCCTTCTCACTACCTTCTGTGTATTCGTAAGAAAAATCCACGAGCTGTTTGCCAAGCCCAACCCCCCCCCCCCCTCCGTCCCCTCCTCACTTCTTCAAAAACTCTCGAGAGGGCAAAATCAGCGGCGCGAACTCGTTAGCGCTCTAGTTGTCAACGACAAAAACCTAATCTTTCATGCAACGAACTCGACTCTCCACATCTTCCCGAAAGAAGTTCTTGCCCTTTTACATGCACATTTTCAGGGATCAGCGAGATTCTCCCCAAGAAAAAAGCAAAGCCGCATTCACATTTACTAGATTGGGTGCAGAAAGGTCATTATTAGTCGCACGAGAACAGACGTGGGTAGAGAGCAGGTGTTTGACGATTAATTGCTCAACACTGCGTATCATGAACGGCATTTGAGAAAGGAGTGTCTAATTAAGTATCAGGGGACATCAATCGTCAGATTGACAGCTTGTTAGCAGCAGGATAATTTTTTTTGTTGAAAAAAACTATATTTGCAAATGTAGTCTAGTGTCATCTGATTGGGAAATTACGTGATTACATCGGCAAGCCTTAACAATTTAGGTTTTTCTTGCAAAAGCAATGTCCAGCCCACTAATCTTATGGATAGGTACTGTAGGCTTACTGTACCAGTAAGTAATGTCTCAGAATCCCATAGTACAAAAAAAATTACCAAGTTTTTTTCTCGAACAACTTGAAGAATTGCATACAACTGGTTTTTAACGCGCGGACATCTCCCAACTGACCACTTCAGGCACCCTCATGGGAACGGTTACTGTAGGTTTACGGTAAAACTTCGACCGCTTCAAGCACCCTCATAGAAGCAGGTACTGTAGGATTACGGTACTTTGTATAAGATATTTTCACGCAAATGGCTGCTTGAGTAGTTCCTTCTTCCAAGAATGATGGAATAAACCTAATAAATTTTTTTAATTAACGAGAACCAATCCATGAGAATTTCAATCACCCCTATGAATCATCGTGGTACAGATACTGTAGGCTTACTGTAAGGTAGTAATAGTCTCATATGAATAATACAACTGTTTGAGTAGCTTTTTCTATCGAAAAACAAAAATTAAAGATTAACTTCTCTCAACAAAGTTTACCTTTCCAACTGGAATCAAGCTAAGCATCCTTAAGGATACTGTAGGCTTACTGTAATCGGTATAAATCATATCCTTCTACTTATAGCCTTAAATCCATGATGTCTGCAAGTGTGCGTCAACGGTGTGCAGACAAAGTGCCACCTAGTAGCGCTTGTTTACTCAGCAAAAATCAACATTTACTTTCCAATTTAGCACAACTTACTATGCAAGCTTACGAAATACTATTCTACAGGGAATGCTTGGTGGTAGGGGTGATTTACCCATCTCTGCGATTTTGATGGCTAAAAAGCTGGCGCTTATTGGAACTAGTGCTTTAGAGAAAGAATGTAATAACGTGGCGAGAATTTACTCTATTGTATGGGAAGTACATGAGCGCGAAAGTAATTTGAAAAAAAAACCTGCATTTTTCCCATATCCCAGAAACTTCCTGTCATTATAGTAACCGAGCTCTCTTCTACCGTAACCTCTTTGCGGCACGGTATGCCAAGTTCTCCCATACCGTAACCTCCTCGCGGTATACTATTCATCCAATCAACTTGCTAAATCTCGCCCGCGCGCGACACATTGACATCTTCAATTTGACATTTCGAACTGAGCGGAAGCGAAATCGTCGGCAGAGCGGGGGAGCGTGGAAGAGAGTGCGCGAGAGAGCGAGCAGTGCGAGTAAGTTGGTGGCATCGCTGATTGGTGCTTGAGTGGTTCGGGGACGAGCGGGGCGAAGACGACGACAAGGCGCAACGTTTTCCTGTGCAGAGCGTATGCGCGACGAATTCTACACAATGAGATAAAGCCGGCGAAATAAGGTTAGAGCTGGCCCTGAGTCGCTCGTTGTCGGACCGACCGACACGAGTAGCGACTGAGTTGTGTGTGTGCGGGCGTCGTCAGGTCTCTGTCTATATACTTGCTTCTTCAACTAGTTCTGTCGTGTTGCTGCTAGGATTATTTACCATATTAGGGAACTTGAGGTTTGACTGCTTGGCTAGAAGAAGCTTCTGGAAGGTTCCTAGACAACAAAAAGAATATTTGTACCAGCATTGGTCTCACTCCAATTATTTTCAGATGAACCGCGCCATGCAGGTGAAGCCGGCGGATACAGAAAGCCGACCGGCTAGCCCAAAGGATAAGGTGAGGGAGGTAGTTGTTTAAAAGCCCCCTTGAAATTTTTCCAACTTTCTCAGACATTGTTAAACCTCATATTTGCCCCATATAACCCGCTTCCTTCACTTTCAGGTCGACGACAAAAAACTTTTCGTCGGTATGTTATCCAAACATCAGTCCGAAGATGAAGTTCGTGCCTTATTCGCACCGTTTGGCGCACTTGAAGAGGTTCGCTCACTTCAAATCTACTTTCTTGATTAGGAGAACGAACTTCGCCATTTTGTGCCACTTACGCGGACAACTGGTCCTATTGCTGTACCTTGTTGTACATGTCATTCAAGGACTAGTGGTCCGTGCTTGGAGGTGGTCAAATTGGCGGTGCTCGTTACTCTACCCTACTTTTTCCTTTCTCTGGCAATGTGCCAAAAGTCATGAACCATGCGAGCAGCTGCGGAAGAAATTAGCAGACTTGACGAATGTGCGTGTGCTATGTCAATATTGCCCCCCTCTGGCTAGATATATTGAACGCGTATTCCTTAGGGAACCAAGCCAGCGCCTGAAAAGGAAAAGCGTTTGACGGGAAATTGATGGATTTACGATTTGCGACTTAGCAATACTTCGGGGAGAAGAGTTATGATGGCTGTGGGAGATAAGATATGGGGTCGTATGGGAAATTGAGGAAATAGGGGAAAAGTGAGTTAAGTGAACTAGTGGGAAGTGCAAGTTATTGAAAACAAATTTGAACTGCCGTTAGATTGGTGGCATTAACCTTTTTCAAGTTTTTTGAAGGAAATGTAATGCTGGTCCTAGATGAAACAATAATTTTGAATTGAAAGCAGTCGGTATTAGCCATTCAGTACATAAGTTGGTTCTACATTGATCTTGTGATCTAAAAAATTCTGGTTAGATATTTTTGACGCAAAAAAAACCCTAGCAGCGAAAATTCATACACATTATTGCCACCCAAGGTTTTTTCTAAGAACAATATAAATCTTCTGTAATTCTCAGGAAATTTAATCTGTCATAGGATCACGCACCTAGAAGTACCGTATCTAAACTACGCTATTCGTTGCGGCACACAAACTATCGTAATGTCACAGTATGTCTACCGTAAGACCTTCTTCGTCCACCATATGATTCCTGTAATTTTTCTAGAATTTTCTGGTCCGCTGTTTTTAGCAGATTGAAACAACTTTTGATTTGTCAAAGATTCACGCTGTTGATTTGTCAAAGATTCACGCTGTATAAGTACCGTATCTGGGTTGCGCTTTCTGCTTTGGCGCGGAAACTACCGTAAGCCCACACAACCGCTACCGTAAGACATTTTCAGATTACCATAGTCTTATTTAATTTGAGAATTGTCTGGTTGAATGCTTTCCTGTATTATAAAGCGAGCGACCTTTTAATTTGTTATAGACTTACGCACTTAGGTAATACTACCGTATCCAAAAGATTTGTCACCCCGCCAAGTACCGTAAAGTTACAGTATCGCTACCGGAAGCTTTTTTAGATTGTTATAATTCTTGGACCATTTGAGGAAATTCTGCTTAGCTTTTTGGCATGAAAATTAGGGGTTGATTTACATAGACTACGCACGCAAGCGAAACAACCGTATCCACGCGAATAGCTATATGGTCTTTTAGCTACTGTAACATACAGTATCCCTTGCCATAAAGCTGTAGTTCACAGCACACCTTATTTGTGTGGAGTTATGGGAAAATCTTATTTTCACTCAATTTTCCAAACTCAATCAAATTTTGAGGAAACTTCCATGCAAAGTCGTTTTGCGTCACTTCCAACCACTTAAGCTTTTTTCAAAAAACTCTCAAAGCTGGTGCTAAGCTTAGTCACCGTGCTTTCTATCCGCAGTAAAGAAGCCAATAGCTTATCCCCTATAAGGCTATGTGTGTGTGTGTGAAGGGCTGAAGCGCCGATTGATTGTCGATATCCGTGCTCGGCTCTCACAGAGACGACGCAAGAGCCGCCGCCTCTGGCATGGGGCACTCACACAGCCCAGTGCCTTCATTATAAATTGCGGGATCGAGAGAGATAACGAGGGGTAAAGGGGGGAGAAATTGTGTCAGGGTAGATGAGCAGAACTTAAAGGGTGAGATTTTGATGTTCTATAGTAGCGGAGCCCCTAAGTAAGTGATCGTCCAAGTCCCGCTGCTAAAGATGAGTTCCGACGCGAGAAAAATGCTTCAGAAGGTGGAAGCGGCCCAGGTGGCCCCGCCCATCAACGTGGGTGGTCCAAAGACTAAATATTCCAAATCGGGCTTAAATGTATCTAGAATTGTCATAAGCCCGCTCTTCTTTATGATCTTCAAAAATCGATATTTCCATCCACCTCGAAGCCTGTTTTCGAGTTCAATATCTTCGGATCACCCACGTTGATGGGCGGAGCCATCTGTGGCACTTTTATTTTCTGAAGCAATTTTCTCGCTTTGGAATTCATCTTTTGCAGCGGGATTTGGGCGAATACTTGGCTAGAGGCCCCGCTATCACACAGCATCAAAATCTCAGAATCTTTGAGTTGGGTAGACAGGACCCTCACCTGGGACTCATTTGGAAAATTTGCAATCTTTACAGTGTTTTCAACTAGGACTTACTGCTTTACCTTCTAGGTCACAGTGCTTCGTGGAGCCGACGGTGCCTCAAAAGGCTGTGCCTTTGTAAAATTTAAAAACGCACTCGATGCTCAAATGGCGATTACGGCTTTGCACGGCAGTCAAACGATGGCCGGTGCCAGTTCTAGCCTTGTTGTCAAATACGCAGACACGGAAAAGGAGCGACAGGTGAGAATTTTCTTCTTTCGGCCATGCCAAGAGCCTATGCACTCGTTGTGACGGTGCTAATTAATTCCTCGATCCTCTCTATCTATCATGCCATATATAGGTTCGACGTATGCAGCAGATGGCAGCGCAGATGGGTCTTCTAAATCCGGTGCTAGTGAATCAGGTCGGCGCACAATACAGTGCTGCATATCAGCAGGTCTGTTAATCTCTTATTGAAGCCTAGGGAAAATTATGAAGCATCCGCGAGTCATTTGTAGCAAAATTTGTGAGTACACACACTATACGCGACAATTGACGGCATCTTACTATTAACTTCCTAGTAAAACTTAAGCTACCGTAAATTGTAGAAATGTGTACTACAAGCATATACATATATAATCAAATTTTAAGAAAACAAGAAATTACGAGAGATGACTGAAAATTAGCAGATTTTGATTTTACAAGCCGTCAAGTAGCGCGCATAGTGTGCAATACGCATATCAAGTTGCAAATGTCTCCATAGAAGTTCTTTCAAAACCAAAAATTCACACGCAATGCACTTCAACCGGCTTCTCTGTTTACTCAGGGGCCAGCGATAACTAATTCCAGGATTCAATTACGATAGTGCATCCCTTTCGGGAAAAGCTCTTATTACATTTTGCTTGGTGAAAAAAACATGTGCAGAAAAAACGCAAAAAAGGAAAAGTATCGTTTACACGCCTTTGACACTTTGCTATGGAAATAAAAGTAACTAAATAGTGCAAAAGCTGCTTTCGCAGCTCGTGCAGCGGTGCGAGCTGACGCTAGAGAGAACGCTCCGACGTAAGAGACGCAGACAGCTAAAATTGCGCCACCGCACTGCAGGTTATGCATTATTTGCATCTGTTTCTACTTGCACGCTTTCAATGGTCAAAATAAAATAGCTTTACACCTTTTAATTTTTAGCAATAGAAAAACTTAATTTCACCCTACTATTTGATTTTCTTTAGCTTCAGATCCTTCAGCAGCAGGCATTAGCTAATGCAGCCGCCGCTCAAACTTCTGCTGCTTACATGCCATTGGTCCAACATCCAGCGGTTTGTCACGAATTTATCAATTTCGAGCAGCAAATCGATGGCTTGATTTAGCTCATGCAAATGCCAACCGGTACACCGCTCTTGACTCAACAAGGACTGACGCAAATCGGGCTTGCTGGCTCACAAATGATGGGCATGCAACAACATCATTTTCAAACCTTACAAGCGTTGGCCGCGCAACAGCAGCATGTTCAACAAGAGTTTCAGTGCTCTCGTAAGTATTAGATTTTTGGGAGGTACATAGTCCGTCCACTGGTCGTGTCAATACATGTCGGCTGCGGTCATTTCGCGCGTTAGACGTCGTCTTTCAAATCGCAGTATTGCTCATATCACGCGAAGGAAAAAACAAGCTTGAGAAATTGTCGGTGTACAATAATCATAATAGGCACTTTTGACACTATCATTGATGGTGGCTCCATAGTTAGAGTCTATGTCAATCGCATACTCTCTTTTCCATCAGCGCGATCGCTACGCGACACCATCGCGCGTTGCACGTTTGCGCGCGTTTAACCTGGACATTTAAATTGGCCCCGTCGACTGGAAGCCGCACGCAAGGCTTTCGCTGCGGGCGTGCAGGTGCGGAAGAGGGAGTGCATGCTTGACACAGACTATAATTTATTTCCTAAAAATATTCTAATTTTTTTTATTTCTAGCACCATCAAGCACGAACGGTGATGCTGCCTTTGCTATTCAAAATGGTTACCCAATAATCAGCATGGATCAGCATAACAGTACGTCTACTTATCAACTTTTATCAATATTATCCAGTCAAGACCCATGTAGCCTTGCATCACCGCTTGTCACTTTGATTTTGGCTCTTCATAATATCGTGTGTGGTGGATTGTTGAGCAAGCGGCTGAATTGTTAAGAATGACAATGGCAAGTCTCTAGGCATTTTTATAGAGAGGGCATCGTTTTGGAGAAAATTTTGAGTGAATTTTGATTTGATGATGCCCCGCTCTAGAAGAATGCTAGTGTTTTTCTACATATTTTTGGTGGTGAGGTGAATATTTTTCATTCAATGGTGTCAGTATTGCAAAGAGCGTCAATAACTGCGCTCCGAGTTTGTTTTGGTCACTCTCTATCTCGAGCTCTATTTTTTCAATAGAAAAGTGAGGTCATAATGGTGTATTTGGTATTTGGTGTGTATATGTTTAGATGTGGCGCTGCAACAGTTGGCTCAGCTACATCAACAGGCAGCGGTCATGCCGCTCGTCACCCCCAAAGAGGGTACGTGTTGTTGTTTTTCTCATGAGGTCGGGTGCTTTCGTGGTCCTCGGCCCGAGCATTCTTTTTTGTGAATAGTCGGTTTCCTGTGTTTTACCGCTCAACTCTGCGTAGCTCTAACGATGCCGCCTCTCAAATCGAATAGCTTGCAAAATTCAAGCGGAAGTAATTTTCGAGCACTGCCAACTTTTTTCCGAGCGCGAAAATGAATTCAGACTTCTTTCTATGAATTTGTGAGAGGTGCCACGTTGGTGTTCGGCGGCAATTCACTGTCGTGTCGTGTTTAGTGCTCGGTCCCGAAGGCTGCAACCTATTCATCTACCATCTGCCGCAAGAGTTCGGCGATGCCGAACTCATTCAGATGTTTGCGCCATTCGGCAATGTGATTTCCGCCAAGGTATTTGTGGACCGAGCCACCAACCAGAGCAAATGCTTCGGTAGGTACGCGTACGCTGCGTTATGCGCGCGCGTCAGGCCGTATTGCACACCCGACGCAGTGGTGCTCGCAACACGGCCTGACGCGCGCCGACTGCTACGCAGAGGCCACGCGTCGCGTCATGCGACACGACGCTGAGTCAGTGTTGCGCGAATGGTACTTGCACGTGAGTGTCGTCGGGTCGTTACAGGGTTCGTGTCGTACGATTCGTTGGCGGCATCGCAGGCCGCGATCGCGGCGATGAACGGCTTCCAAATTGGCATGAAACGCCTGAAGGTGCAACTGAAACGGCCTCGTCAGGATCGACCCTACTGAGACTGACCGAGAAAGTGCATGTTGTGCTACACTTTCACCGCCACACGCCCCTATCCCCGTCCGTGCCTTCTTTCTACGTTCTTTTCTTTTTAATTTTATGATTTAGCTAGCTTTTTTAGTTCATAGACAAATAATAATTTTACTTTTAATACCTAAAAAGTTTTATTGCGATTGTGGTGAAGTAGTGAAGTACGTTGGCAAATTCTTGGCAATTTCATAGCAGCGGCGATAATTCATAAAACTGCGCAGTGACTTTTTTCACTTGTAAATAATTGATGATTTTCAGAAATTTTCAAAAAATCGAACTAGTCTTGTGAAAATTTGTTCAATATAGGCCCGCGAAAATCCTGAAATTCTGGAAACCCAAACGAATTTTTTTCGAAGGGTGCTACTCGAAGAAACTCTCGTCCCCTTTCTTTTCCGAAAATCGCCAAATCTTGCTGCAAACATGAGCAACTCTGAGTGAGGTGGCTGGAGCACCGGCCCTGTAAAGCCAGTAATCGGCTAGACAGCGATACTGGGTTCGATTTTGCTAAGTATTTGAGAAAATTTAGGAGAGCCTCACTTTATCCGCTTTCTCAAAGGTAGCAAGAAAGTGCTGTTTCTGAGAGTTTTACTTTTTGCCGCTGATAATACAGAAAACCTTTTTATTCTTTTTTATGTTAGCAAGGGTTTCATAATCGCATCGCGTTTACGATTTTTATGCATATCGCTGAAAAAATTCTAGGCCTCATGTTTTTGATAATTTTGATAAGCGTTATGTAGCACAAATACACAGCAAACGATACACTGTTTCAGAATTTCCGCCTTTTGCCTGTGGATGTAAATAGAGCAAAGAAAAATTCAAATTTGCTTTGTTGCCCTTTCAAGGTAAAGAGTCGCAACGAATAGAAGTTGCGGAGAAGGAGAGCATATGCAGAAACCAGGGAAAAGGATTTTTTGATGATATTAGCGATGATTACAAAAATTTAGTTTTTCTTCAAACTTTCAAATGTTAGGTTGTAACAAAATTAATGCAGGTTTTGAATTCCAACCGCAATAAGTCATACACTTCTCATCTCTAACTAGGTTGTAAAGTACCATTCGATAGAGCAAAGCAAGCTCTACAAGTAGGCTTTCTTGCTTTAGCAACAACTCTGATCTACCACGAGTTTCGAGCCAAAAACTAAAAAGATTCAACTGTCCGAAAATTTGAGAAAAATCGTAACTCAGTTCATAAGAAACCTACAAAAATTCTAACTTGCTCACGTAAACACTATTCACATAAGATATCTATATATGCTTTTGCCGTAATTTTTTCTCTGTTAGAAATCAAGAAAACGGAAATTTGTGCGTTTGTCAAAGTGATGCTGTGCCGTTCCCACATACGTAGTTGTATACTACAAACCTGTAGAAGTATAAACGTGAATTTCCAGCTCTCTACAAGCTTTAGTTCTCAAAAATATCGAATACAGTTTTCGCTAATCACGTGGTCCAAGCTAAAATTTAAATTTCTCGAGAACTAAAGCTTGTAGAGAGCTGAAAATTTACGTTTGTACGTCTACAGATTAGTAGTATACAATTACTTATATGGGAACGGCACAGCAACACTTTGGCAAATGCACGAAAATTTCCGTTTACTTGATTTCTAACAGAGAAAAAAATACGGCAAAGGCGTATATAGATGTCTTATGCGAATAATGTTTACGTGAGCAAGTTAGAATTTTTGTAGGTTTTTTATGAACTAAGTTACGATTTTTCTCAATTTTTCGGGCTGCTGAGTCTTTTTAGTTTTTGGCGCGAAACTCGTGGTGGATCAGAATTGTTGCTAAAGCAAGATGGCCTTCTTGTAGAGCTTGCTTTGCTCTATCGAATGGTACTCTGCAACCTAGTTAGAAATAAGAAGTGTATGACTTATTGCGGTTGGAATTCAAAACCTGCATTAATTTTGTTACAACCTAATAGGTAGAATATTTGTCATATTATGAAAGGGTGTAGTAATTTGCGTCAAAAGATAATACAAATTCAAAAAGAGTGTTCCATTACAGAATATGTAGTCAACTATAGACTGAGTTTGTATATATGTTAAACAGGTTGAAAGTCATCTCACAAGTTGAAACTTTTCTTTCGCGTTGATTTACATGCTTTACTGCTTTGATTGAAAGGAAAGACATGTTTGAGCTCGTCAAATGGACGCATGCATTGCTTTCGTGAGTCTTCCAATCGAACAGGCTATTAGTGTAATTTCGCGCATGTATCGGAGGTAAAAAATTGACCCATGGGAGCTTTCATGTAGTAGTGATAAATAAATAAATAAATCTAAGGTCGATGAGTTGCTGCACTGCAGCATTCTGTTGCGTAAATCTTTTTAAAGGATACGCTGCGAGAGGTAGGTCCGCAGGCGCACAGGTGTACTGTAGCGCTAGCAACGATTCGAACCAATGCTCATTTTTGTGGGCTGCAAGCGGTTTACACATTTGGTTTAGATGCAGATTTTCTCTTGTGGGCTAATGATCATGCGGAATTTGCTTTAAATTTTTTTAAATGGTGTAAAAATGTTACGCTTTTTAGATTATAACATAATATTATATTTTTCATATAACAAATATTTTTTCACTACCTTTTGAAAAATTGAAGATGTGACAGAATTGCATATTATTTTCAGGTGATTTCGCCCGCAGACCCCCACCATTTATTCTTCGTCCGTACTAGTCGCTGAATTGTTCATTTCAATTTCTGTCATTGAAGTTTCATCTTCTAATGCATTTCGACTTGATGTTTATTTGCATTATTGTGTAGCATTAGTTCATGTGTAACCTATAATTTTTCAATTCTGGCAGCGAGACGGTTAGAGTTCGGTTGGAAATGTGTGATGCGTTAGTTGTACCGCTTGGACCGCAACGCTGCCGCCTTGCATTAGGCATACGCGTGTTGTGCCAGTTTCGGACGCAAAATGCACGCAGCATCGCGTTTCATCTTCTGCCACAATCTTCTATTGCTCTAGTCATTACTTTCCATTTGTAAGAATCAACGAAACTTTGATTCTCATATATCTATGGCATTCAGCATACTGAGCATTCCAGGTTTCGATAATTTTAATAATTATAGCACGAGCAGTGACTTTCCTTTACTCGCCATATTCGGTCCCTTTAGAATCTGTCATTTTGTACAACTCAATTGATTGAGCGGAAGAAGTTGTGACTATTGAATCATTTAGTATCGATCAATTTTACTCGCCCATAGCGGTTACGAAATCACAACTTCCCGTAAATGCTCAGTCTACACATACAACGGTCCAATCTAGTCTCTTGCACACCAATGATTCTGGTATCCATTTTTGTTCATTATTCGTATTATTTTCACGTATCCTTTTTATTCCCATCGATCTGATATGATCGATACTCATATGTCACGACATGATCTCATGTGTACAGAAGTTTCTTTATTTAGTAATTGTATTAATTCTTATCCATTGTATTTATTATCGTAATTATTGTATGTTTTTTTCATACCAATGCACGTCAGTGTCTATGTAATGATGCTGCAGAACCACTCTTGAGACGATTTCTTGAGATGATCATGGCGAATATGGATCCCTTTCATCCACAATTAGAAGCAGTATAGAGTTATGGCGAAATTTCTTTCCGATAAATATTCCTCTATGTGAAGTTTTTAGTGTTTTGAGGTTGCGTTCATAGCACAGGGATCTATGAGCTGGGAAAGTGCAAGGCAGCTTTATTACCAATCTTGTTTATCGACGCAGTTGGAGTGAGGATAAGGGTCATAGATACATTATCTACTGTTTCCAGTGCGGATTGGTTGCAACTTTCTTTGCTTACTCTACAATTGTCGACGTTTCACGATGAAGAATTCTGCATTGAAATACAGATATGCAGGTTACATTTCGTGATCCAGGGAACTCCTATTGTGGTATGGAAAACACAACATCTCTAAATAATACCGGAGGTGGAAATAGAGGAGTTTGTTCAATTACTTGAACTGAGAAGTGAATGGGCATTTCTGGTCCCATGCGGCAAGCATTTCAAAACTTTGGCCAACAAGTCAGATCCCATCCAGCGGCTTGCGCAATAACCTCACCAATAACCTCACTGATTCAATTTTTGAACCACGTTTCTCAAGCGGAAAACAACATCTGACATGCAGTATCATTAATGAGCGAACTTTGAAAAGGCGTCATGCAAGTTTACGGTGATGTTTAAAGCAAGCCATTCTCAGATAGGGTGACAGCAGTGGCACAGCGAGAAGTGATGATATTATTTCTGTAAACAGTACCTCTCAAGCTGTACGTCTTTGACTGCATTCATGCGTGTGGTACCCAAAAATGACATTTTCTCGATGCTTTTCACGACTGCGAGCGGGATACGATACTATATAAGCGAACGTTGAGATGGAAAGGCACACTCACGCTTGTCATTAATTGGGAGCATACCATCATAATAGACAGTATACTAAACTTTGAATGTATATGATTTCCAGTATTTTTCTAGCAAGCTTAGCAGCAGATCGCGTGCATGACGGTGTACGAAATGTCTTTAAACGATTTTCCAAACTCCAATTGTCTTATTTAGCTGTAGAAATGTACGGCTCAGCTGCGTTCTTGCGTTTGGCATTTATCATATGCTTGTTCATTTACAAGGTTGTGACAACAAAGAAAGTGATTTATATATGTTCAGCAAAGGTGGCACCAGATGCTTTTTGGTGTCGTGTGTTTTGAGTATATGAATGTCTGATGAATGTTACGGGAGTTTGCAATCTGGAAACGAATTAAAGCCTAAGCTTGATTAAATACCACTGTAGGCATAGCCGCGATAGGGCTCGGCACTGGTGGCACATGGGCACAGCGGCTATCCTGTGAAGGTAAAAGCAGATGTACTTCCCTCCCCCGCGGCTTTTGACAACCCAAAGCACTTGCGGCCAATGCTGCTTCGAAGGCAGTGACTCGGCAAAGCTGAAAATGAAATATGAAAACAAGTCCGGGCGCACAGCATGCTGCCCTTGCC